CTTGAGCCCACAAACCACAAGATCATGACCTGAGCTGAAGTTGGATGCTTAACCGACTGAGCCACCCAGGTGCCCCAAGAAGAGGTTATGTCTTTTACTTTTATTATTTTTTAAAAATTTTAAATGTTTTTTATTTATTGCTGAGAGAGAGAGACAGTGTGAGAAGGGGAGGGTCAGAGAGAGAGGGAGACACAGAATCTGAAGCAGGCTCCAGGTTCTGAGCTAGCTGTCAGCACAGAGCCCGATGCAGGGCTCGAACCCATGAACTGTGAGATCATGACCTGAGCCGAAGTCGGCCACCCAACCAACTGAGCCACCCAGGCACCCCAAAGAGGTTATCCTGTGATAAACCTATCGTAAATTGAAAAGATCGTAAGTTGAAAATGTATTTAACACACCTAACCTGCCAAGCAGTATAACTTAGCCTACCTCACTTTAAACATGCTCAGAAAACTCACATCTGCCTATAGTTGGACATAATCATCTAATGTAAAACATACTTTATAACGAAGTATTGAATACCTCATGTAACTTATTGACTACTGTACTGAAAATGAAAAAGAGAATGGTGGTATGGTAGAGAGTGGTTGGAAGTGTATCAGTTGTGTACCCTGTGATCACTTGGCTGTCTGGGAGCTGAGGGTTCCTCCACTGCCCAGTGTCACAAGAAAGGATTGTAGTGCATATTGCCAGCTTAGGAAAAGCCCAAAATGCAAAATTTGAAGTATAGTTTCTACTGAACTCATATTGCTTTCAGACCATCCTAAAGACGATAAGCCGTAAATTGGAACCATTGCATACTTTTGGCGAGAAAGTTACCTTTTAAGTTGTATTACTTTTTCAGTTCTTAAATGCCAGTTAATCACAGATGCTTATGGTGGATGTTATGTGGAAGAAATACATGAAAATGGCTTTTGATATTTTTTACTGCCCCCCCCCCGCCCAGGACATTTGTTTGGTTCTGTCCCTTAAATGTTGCCAAGACATTCTTTGCTGCTTTCCTTTTTAATGATTCAGTTGTTGAAATCATTATTTGGCATGCAAATATTATTTATGGAGCCAACAATGAAAGCGATCCCCCCTTCCTTTATGGCATATTTTTAATACTGATTGATTAATATAATATTTTACAGATGACATAAAATTCTGGTAAATGATTATGTTTTTCATAGATTTTTAAGAGTTTTTCTACAAACTAGGAAAAAATGTGAAATTTTGATACTGTAGAAAACTGTGTTATATATTACTTCTGATTTTAAAATACTCTGTCCATACAGAAAACCAGTCAGAATTTCCCCATCTACTTTAAAAAAAGTTTTTTTTTTTAATGTTTATTTATTTTTGAGAGAGAGAGACAGACAGAGCGTGAGCAGGGGAGGGGCAGAGAGAGAGGGAGACACGGAATCTGAAGCAGGTTCCAGGCTCTGAGCTGTTAGCAGCGAGCCTGACACAGGGCTCAAACTCATTGCGAGATCATGACTTAAGCCGAAGTTGGATGCTTAACAGACTGAGCCACCCAGTTGTCACCTCCCGCCCCGACCCCCGCATCTGCTTCTAAATATGATAGTACTGAGGGTGGAAACGTGGTGAAATTAAAACAATAAGGTGAATGAATGGTAAACTAGAAAGTTTGATGTTTGATTTGGTTAAAATTATGGTTACACTGGTTAGGTGACAAAATACCTGGATGATCAATTATTTTTGTAGTAATTCGAGCAGATACCTTGGCATTTTCCAAACTAAGGTAGAGAGGCTTATGGCACCAGTGAAAACTTGAACAAAGTGGTTTTTTTTTTTTTTTTTGACAATAAAAATTACCTGGTTAGCGCAGTAAAAATTTTTCTCTACTCAGTAAGGGAATCCTAAATCAGAAGTACAGGATTGGGCCTACCAATTCTACATCCTATCTGCTGTAGACAAAATATTCTCTCCACAGACTGTGGCTGAGTATACGAACTCCCAGTACAGATCTCTGGCAATGAAATTTGTCTCTACTCTAAGCATATGGACCTAAAACATAAATAAGATCTTAACAAATGGGAAAGCTGTTGGAAGCTTTTTGAGAGTTCCAACTGAAGCCCTGGGAGAAGATGGTGTTGTGTGGTCTGTATAGTATGTGTTTTGCAGGAGCTTTTTAGTTAGACCCAACTAATGGAGGATGCAGTCTACCTCTCTAACTCAGCAATGAAGTTCATAAAACATATACCACAAAAATTAATTTATTTAACACATACTGTCTTCAGCACTAGAAAGTCAAAAACTATGTGGATGGCAACTCTTATAACTCAGTACTTCAAAGTGGATGGTAACAATAGGATATGAGGGAAGCATTGATTTCTATACTTCATTAGGGGCAGTGTGAGGTAGTGCACTGGGTTTGTACCAAACGTTCTGGTCGTTCACCGAGTCTTCCAGGACTCATTTTCAATTTGGTGTAATTAAAAGAAAAACAAATTTTTCCTGGAAACTTTGGGCTTGAAAGCATCATGTCCCAGATTCTGCTGTGTTTTTCCTCTCTCTCCGGTCGTGCCTTTTTAGTCTAGTTTGTTAGCTTCTTTTTCTTGTAGCCATTAAGTGTCAGAGTTCCTTGAGGCTTTCAGCTTCTTGCTGCTTTCTCCCTAAATAATCTAATCTTTGTCTTAGCTTTCATTACCATCTATGCATTAATACATTTAACGCACATCTCCAGATTAAGACTCCCATCAAATTCAACTGACCTGACTCGGACATCCAAAGATGCCTCAGTGGAACATCTCCAAGACTTAATATGTAATCATTCCTTCCAGGCCTAGCCTTCCCTAGTATTTTCTGGCTTAGAAAATGGCACCACTATCCAATCAGCCGTTCAAATTAAAGCACATAGAATCATCCTTAACTTCCCTACCTTCTTCTTGCTCCATATACATATGGAGCAAAATATGTTCATTTTACCTTTAGAGAAACTCTAGAATCTTCACACCCTTTGTCATAGCCGTAATCTACTATGGTAGCCTCATGGGAGATTTGAACAAACTGCAGTACTCACCCTTAACAATCCTCTATTTGTTCTCCACAGTGGACCCAAATTAAGTTTGCTTTTCAAAATATACTCTGAAGTGAAAGAAGCCAATCTGAAAAGACTACATACTGCATGGTTCCAGAATTCTGGAGAAGGGCTTTGGAGACACTGAAAAGATCAATGTTTGCCAAGGGCTAGCAGGAAGGAAGGATGCATCAGCAGAGCACAGGAGATATTTCAGGGCTATGAAACTATTCTGTAAAATGCAATACAATGATGGACACATTTCATAAAATCCACTGAATGTACAACACCAAGAATGAACACTAATGTAAAGTGTGGACTAGGGTGAGAATGATATGTTGATGTTGGTTCATCAATTCTAACAAATACACCACTCTGGTGAGAGATTTTGAGAGTGAGGGAGGTTGTGCATATATGGGGGCAGGAGATATATGACAACTCTCTGTGCTTTCCGTTCAATTTTGCTATGAATCTAAAACTACACTAAAAAATAAAGTCTTTTAAAAAAAAATTCCACAAAAATCTTGCATCTCCTCCTCAGCTCGTGAAAGTGCTTTACCGCTTTTCCAACTTTACTAAATTGGAAGTCCTTAGCGCAGTGCCTTTCCACCTGTGCAGCTTCATTTCCTCTTGCACCTTTCTCAATCTTTCTGTCTGTTTTCTAGCCACATTAGTTTCTTTCGTTCAGGTTCAAATGGTTTGTGTGAAGTCTCTCCTCAGGGCTTTGCCCCACCCTTCCTCCTTGCCTATTCAGGGTCTACTCATCCTTTACACCTGAGCTCATTGTCATTTCCTGACGGCTTCTCTGAGCCCCCTACCCTTCTGCTTTTGCTATGTATTTCATATAAAAACCCAAGTTATTTTGGAGGCTTTTGCTATTGCTCTTATAGAAAAACCCAGTTATTTCCCCAGCACCCCTACCGCTTTTATATTTAGACATTCACAATAATAAATACTCGTGATTGTTTGCTAAGATTGTTCTCATCTATTAGACTGTAAGCACCTATTTTTGCTCAGCATTGAGCCTAGTTTGGTGGTTGGAACACAGAAGGAGTTAGTAAATATTTGTTGAAAGAATGAATAAAGAATAAGAAGTGTCAAATGGGCTGTTGGTTTATTGCTCCCTGTTTTCTCCAGCTATTAGAGGTTTGCAGTCCCTGAAATACCTATTACTGTCTCAGAAGAGGACATTTCGAACAATCATTTTTAAAAGTACCATCACAGCAGAAATGTTTTTTTTTTTTTTTAACCCTCAGCTTCTGTATTTCATGTGGTTACTCTGTGGGTTCTTGTGATTCTAGATTGATGGCTGCTTTGTTCTTTAAGATATTTAGAACTTAGGGTAAGCAGTATGAAAATGGCTCCCCGACAGGGGTGATTATCTGAAGTCAGGGCTTCATGCCATTCCCAGCCTTTTCTTTCAAGTCTGAAAATCCTCTCTGGATGGGTGGCCATTCAAGAAAAAAGATGCTCTGTTCACTGCTCAGTAACAGATACAGATATAAAATCCCCGTTTAGTCTTGGAACTGCCTTGGATTTCTCTGGAAAGTGTGCTGATGGTAGCCAGCACTAATGCTAAATCACCATGAGGCCCTTTGTTTTCGGATGCACACGCAGTGTGTTCTCATGCGGTGGCCACTGCATATCTGCCCTGACTTCATTAAATAAACAAGTGAGGTGAAGAAACAATTCCCCTACCTTCCAGGTAAGCTCAGCAATTTGTCTTAATCACCGTTAGCCTTTTGTGAGTGACTACCATGGGGCTCCTAATAATTCGTTCACCCTGGTTACAATGATGTGAATTGTGAATTAGTAATTTTCACGCAGGCAGCTATAGGGGTTGGGTTCTCTAACATGTACTTTTTTTCCCAGTTGAAATACATGTATCTATATCTATTTCTCTATGTGTTCATATATATATATATGTGTATATATATATACACATAGGTCTTCTAAATGAGTGCTTTCCTTATTACAGTCGGTCCTCTCTCACGGCGCGGTGGCCGACTGCGCTGTTGTTGGTAAGGAAGATCCTTTGAAAGGTCACGTCCCCTTAGCACTCTGCGTGTTGAGAAAAGGTGAGAGATCTTTGTGCTCCCCCAGTGTTTGGGTTCTGAATGATTAACTGGTTAATTCAGTGTTTATCCATCTGAACTTTCTCCCTAGATATTAATACAACAGAGAAACAAGTTTTGGAAGAAATTGTGAACCATGTTAGACAGAGCATTGGCCCTGTGGCTGCTTTTCGAAATGCACTGTTTGTCAAACAGTTACCCAAAACAAGATCTGGCAAAATTCCCCGGTCGGCTCTGTCTGCCCTGGTCAATGGCAAGCCGTATAAGGTAAATTATCCAAGATGTTTAATGCCAGGGTCTGAAATACTTTTACCCGCCTTTTGGCGCACGCGCGTGTGTGTGTGTGTGTTTTAATGTTAAGGGAGAACCTGCATAGCCAGTCTCTAGGAATGAGGGTTGTGGAAACACATATTAATTAAAACCATATGCTTTGAGATTATAGGAACCAGTGTGTGAAAATACTTTTAGTATGTCAGTTAAATGTACACAACTTGTGGAAATGCAGTCTTACTGAATTAAAGACACATCTTCCTTCACTGTGGTTCATTAATGGCTATTATTGAATGAGAAAGCAAACAGTTGAGGCCCGTTATGCATGCTGGTTATATACATGCTGTATATACGCAGACATATGCTGGTTATATAGTTCTAATTTATATATATTCTAATTATTTCTCCTGTTTTGAGTGAAAATTCTTTTGGAAAATGTTAGACTAATTCAAATATATGTATCTAGTCACCGATATCTACAAGGAGGTGATGCAATAGTAGTTTGAGGAAATGCAAAAAAAAGAAAAAAAAATTCGCAGGAGGCACGTAGAAGGGCTCAGTAGAGGGATTCTAGAGAAAAGACCATTTAGTAATGAGGGAGCCTAAGGCAAGCTGACAGGCTGCAATGCCCCCCCACCCCTCAAGTGGGATGTGTGTGACATTCCTCAGGTACTCCAGGCAGCCCAAGAACAAAGGAAAGGACATAAAACAAATGGCTAAACTGATAAGAGTCTCCATCAATTCATTTTAGTAATATTACAAGAAAAAGGCCATTTTACCAATAACCAAGTCTCCAGGAACTCCCTGCTATCTTAAGGATAATGCTTTGCTAGAGAGAAAAACAACCTGAGCTTGACAATAGGTAGGCCTCAAGTCATCTGTAAATCCTCTTTAGCATATAGAAATCCCTTTAAGAAACTTCCTCTTGGGGCGCCTGGGTGGCTCTGTCGGTTAAGCTTAAGCGTCTGACTTCGCTCAGTTCATGATCCTCATGGTTCGTGGGTTCGAGCCCCACATCAGGCTCTGTGCTGGCAGTTCAGAGCCTGGAGCCTGCTTCAGATTCTGCGTCTACCTCTCTCTCTGCCCTCCCTAGCTCACACTGTCTCTCTCAGAAATATATAAAACATTAAAAAAATTTAAAAAAAACTTCTCTTAACTTTACCTCCTTCAACTCCAAGGTATGTAAGCAGTCACACTTCATAACCCCAGTGCAGCTCTTTCTGCCCACAGGTCCTGTCCCTGTGCTTTCATAAAATCACCTTTTTGGCACTAAAGACTTCAAGAATTCTTTTTTGGCCATTGGCTCTGAACCCCCACCAACACCCCGAAACCCTATTATTTAGAACGAATAGTTTTGCTAGCTGATCGGTTTATTACTCTGGAAGACTACAAATAATGTTTTAAAATATTAAAATCAGAGTTCCCTTGTTTTGAACATTTCTATATGCATATTATAAGATAATGGGGAATACAGCATTGCATGTAATTGTTTAATTATGGACAGATGGAAGGGGTTTGAGGAAGAACATTCATCAGACTCTCATTTTTTCTTTTCAGATAACGCCTACAATTGAGGACCCCAGCATTTTTGGGCACATAGAAGAAGTGCTGAAGCAGGCATCGTGACTTTCTTTTTTCCTATTTTGAGTCAGTTTGAGTCAATTTTCTAATTGGGAGTCAAATTTTTTGAATCCTTTCCCACAAATAAATATTTGAATAGGAATTACTTGCAAACCAAAATGTGAATTGTAAAGCTTGGTCTAAAAAAAAAATTATTGAAGACTAGAGAAAGACCTGCACCTTCTGTTTAATTAGACCCAATTAGCATCTTTTTCAGTTGCCTGGAACATGGTTCATGGTCTACCACTTTAGGAAGAATATAGCTAATGTATGATTTTAAAAAGCTGACCCCCAAATATTTTAATTGAAAGTGACACATTAACATGGAACTACTTTCTGAAATGAGGAATCTGTAGCTTTGAACCAAAACCTAAAACTCAAGTTGAAGTCAGAAAATAACAACTTTTCTTACAGAAATTCTGAATATTTTCTAACGTTCTTGAAATGTCCTTATGCATAGTTATTATAAAGAAAATAGATAAAACGGAAGGTTTTAGGTAATCACCTAGACAGATGATTTTCTGGAGAGGAGGATCTGTCTACTCATACATTTCCTGAGGGAAGCTTAGATACCAGGGTATAGCTCTGCCTTCAGGTCATTTTGACTTAGTCAAGGGAAATCACATGCCTGACAGATTCAAGAGGTCATTTAGCCCAATCTGTTTGTCATGGAGATGAGAGCACTTTGGGGTTCCTCCTGTCTCAGGTAACAGTCGACTGTACGGTTAATGATTCCAGCATCCTATAAAAACAAGGAAATGACACAGAAATGCAGTAAACTGAGGAAGAAAGCTCTTAAGGAAGAAATGTAAAATTTTTACGTTATGCTTAACGATCAGGAGTTTTTTTAGAAATCCCTAATCCAGATTTTTATGTGAAATCTCCAAGTTTTAAATAACTCACTAAAAAATATTGTGACATCCAAGCACATCTTTCCATTTAAAATTATATAAAACTATTGAGCATTTAAAAAAAATTACTGAAAATGAATCTTTGTTAATAAGTTTTTGATAATGTACCAATTAGCCAGGGCAGATATAGATAATTGAATATATGATTTACTTAGGATTCTACAAGATATCAGTTATTAAAGAATACATTTAAACTAAAAAATAAATATACCATGCCCATTGAGTCTTTGATGGTGCTCGAAGTATTTCAGTCCATCAGGAAAATTATTTTTAAGAGCAGCTATTCTAACATAATAGTCTGGATATATGAAATATGTGTGAGAGATAACAGATAAGAGCTTATTTACTTGTTTATTTCATAAAGATTGCTTACAACCTATATATAAAGACATTGTGAAAATGCTAGGTTTATTATTACTTTTTTTTTTTGGACCATAAGCTGTAAATAAATGGCTTCTCAAAGCAGAGTCCTATTTGCTTAAATTGGCTTCTTGATTGTTACACCTGAAAATTTCTTCAGCTAATTGTTCTCTTTAATTATTTTAGTAGCCTGCAGTAAACCAACTAGATAGACTTTCAATTTATAATTTGAAGCTGCTGAGTTCCTTAAAGTGTCCCTTCTCTTGGGTACATTTGACCCATTATCACAACTGTAATCTTAACAATATATTCTTGTTAAGAATATTAACAACTGCTTTTTCAGGTAAGAATCAGTTAATTTGAAATGGCAAATTCTTTCGCTGAATGTGTATCATTGTTCATTTGTGAGGTATAAACAAAGGCCGGTCCGAGAACTGTGGGAAGAGCACATCAGTGGATGTCTCGCACATTTTTCCTGGCAATCAATCCTGAAGGGACATGTTAGCTAGCAGGCTCGAGTTATTTTCCAATAACTTGGGGCATGGACTGGGGAGCAAGTACTGTTCTTGCATCTGGCTGAGGAAATTTATCTCCTCCGAAGAGTCAGAGGAAGTACTGTTACTTTTACGTGTCTAGAAATGGGGCAAAAAAGATACACTTGAATTGTTGGACTGCCTAAAATTTGGTAGAAAAAAAGGAATTTTCTCTTTCATTCTTACCATAAAGCACTTTCACTAGATAGTAACTAAAATATTCTGGATTAAATGTATCTTTAAAATAACAATATAATGTTACTAAAAATACAATCATATTTAAATTTGCTGAAATAAGTCCACATGACCTTCTTTTGATATTTTCATAGAATTTTTTACTGCAAGATATTGGAAAAATTTAAATATAAAGATTTTCTTTTAAAATCTATGGAAAAGTGTTTTCCAGTTATTATGCTCTGGACAGTACATTAAATATATAAAAATTAGATCTGTTTTACATCTAAGGAGGACTTTTGAGTTTATATAAAATTGTATTTGAGAAGTCTCTCATCATTACAAATGTGAAAATTCATAAATTTGATAGATGGTCAAAAGGAAATAATTGAGATTCTGAGCTCAGTCCATTAAGTGGATTTTAGAATCTGGCAGAAATTATACTATAAGTTGAAAAGTATTTTATGCTTTTTTTTGAGGGAATACTAGATCTTTTTATCTCTATACATTAGAATCTATTATAAACAACTAACATTTCTTACTGGTTATTCTCTAAAGGGGAGAAATTGATGTGATTAAGTCATGAATTGAGAGTAGATACAAATTTAGTTTGTTACTGTAATATCATAGTTTCTGTATTATATTTCATTTCCTAATTCAATATCCCAGTGATCAAATGAATTGAAAAAGCTCTTTTCCATTGTTTCTGCTCAGGCAACATTTCTAGAAAATTTAAAAAATCACCTTCATAAGCAAGTTCAGTGCTCCCTCTTGTGGCCAACTCACTTTTGAAGATAAAAAGTAGACTGAGAGTCACTAGAAGAACAATTTTCATTATAGTTTAAATTGTTAAACATGTGACTAGAAAACAAAAATTAAACAGAGAACTGGAAGTATTTTTTATTGACAGTGGAGAGGGTTTCTGTTACCATTACCTTTTGACCGAATCTGTTAAACAAAAATAGACATCAAAACAAATGTAATGTACGTGCAAACAGCAAATTAAATACAAAAAGGAAATTACTAATGACAGGTCTTGCGCTTCATAAGATCAAGCAGCAGAAAATCAGCAGTTAGATAAATGGTATTATTAAATAGGTTTTACTTTGAAATCTCCCATATAAACAAGGAATAAACAACAGTAACACCACCAAATAAAGCCACAGGGAAGAGGTTACTCTTCTATACTTTTATACACTATATATGTTAACCATTCTGTCTTTCATTTATTTCCTCTGATAAGACTGACTTCAGGGAAGTCTCAACAAGGCCATCTTGGCTAGAAGCTTGTGACATTAGACATGAGTCTGGCTAATGCCCTTTTACATCGACAAGAGGGAAAGGTTTCTGGGTTTGGTTTTTTCCAATGGAAATGAGCCTCAGGCTCTGCAGTGGTTGACATTCACTGAGCAGCGCTGGCTGGCGGTTCGAGATATCTGATGAACATGTGGTTCTTAGTAAAGAAGTTTTTTTTTTTTTTTCCTCTTTTTTCTTGGTCCATGGATAACAAGAGAAGATAATGTTTATTCCTTATAAATTATTTTTTAAATATTTGCTCTTGACTCTTGTAAACAGTTTAGCTTTGTTTTGTATTGAAAAGGAGATCGAGCCATCACAGTGCTATTTCTAAAGTTATAGGACATCCCTGATTGCCTTTAAAGGACTATTTTTGGCTCCAGTTCCAGGTTAAATCATTCCTTTTTACATGATCAGAGGCAGGTTTTCAGCTTTAAGTATTGACAGACTTGAAGGAGAAACATATCGATTCGACTGTTACAATTCAAAAACTGTAAAAATGGTGGAATGGTAAAATACAAACAGTACTTGGAATTGTCAAATGTTTGCACTCGAGACTCCATGAACCATATATTTTATTTTTTTAAAAATCATATTTATATCCATTTACATAAGACTTACACATTTAAAAAGAAATACATACACAGTAATACATAAAGGCCTAGTATATTACAATAAAACATGAAAAAACAAGTGGCTCCATTTCATAAAAGCATCTGTTGTACAGAATTTATGATGTGGATGATGCTTATTATTCAAATGACTTAAGCATTTTCTTACAATTGTAGTAAACTAATCAAACTTAACATCTGACTCCCCGAAAATCACATTTGCAGCTTAATAAACCATCACTTGTGGTGTTTCCTTAGAATTCAGTCTTCACAAAGGTTTTTACTGTTCGTCCTCATAGATGGTAGTGCACTTTAGGTAGAGTAGGCTGAAAAGACGACATCTGAAATAGTTAATGCACAGTGTTAGTCTGCTGTCAGTTCCCGGACTGGAAAGTCCCCTTTTGCCTCCGTTGCTGCTCCTCCGTGCAGCCTGCCTACTTCCAGCCTAGGAGTCTATAAACGGAATGCCAGCTAGGTTCTGACCGATAGCTGGACAGCATTAACATTTGCTCTTTCTCCAACTTTGTGTAGGCCGACTTAATAAATAACAAAATTTGCTTGAGTTTGTGGAAAGCATGGCAGTAAATATAAACAAAGGTATTCATAGAAAATGTGAGCAGTCCTTTCGAAAAATCTGCAGCTTCCTCGTCAGTAAATTTGGTTGAATTGACTTATTTCATGGAATGGATTCTTATTTTAGTTCATATCTTTTAGAGCTCTTAAAAAGACACCTTTCTTTATTTAAAAAAATTTAATGTTTATTTTTTATTTTTTGAGAGAGAGAGAGAGTGAGACAGAGCTTGAGTGAGGGAGGGGCAGAGAGACGGAATCACAGAATCCGAAGCAGGCTCCAGGCTCTGAGCTGTCAGCACAGAGCCCCATGCGGGGCTCAAACCCATGGACCATGAGATCATGACCTGAGCTGAAGTTGGATGCTTAACTGATTGAGCCACCCAGGCGCCCCAGCTGTCTTCCTTCCTACTTTCCTTCCTTCCTTCCTCTCTCTCTCTCTCTCTTTCTTTCTTTCTTTCTTTCAGAAAGTGGGGGGAAGGGCAAGGAGGAAGGTGGAGAGAGAGAGAGAGATTGAGAGGGAGAGAATCCCAGGCAGGTTCCATGCTGTCAGCTCTGAGCCCAAAGCAGGTCTGACTGACAAGCCGTGAGATCACAACCTGAGCCAAAATCAAGAGTTGGACACTCAACCAGCTGAGCCACCCAGGCGCCCCTAAAAAGACATCTTTGTTTAATTGTGACAAAAACATAATGATAATAAACAGCTATATTTCAAAGGATCTGGATCAGCGATGTGGCATCACTGATTCTTTCCTGTCATAATATACTTAGAAAAAGCTCACAATTTCTATTTCTGACACAAATGAAATGATAAATAATATGTTCTGGGTTGTTTTAATAACAAAAGTGCTAATGTTTCATCACAACAGAAACTGGCTGCCCTTGATTAGGTTATTGTAAATAAATACCTTTACCCTATTTAATGGTAAAAATTAGGAAATATGGACTAGAATGCCATGCACAAAATACAAACTGCAAATAGCTAAAGAGCAATTCTGCCCACCAGTGAAAAACTAAGAAGCGAGCACTATTCAACATGTTAAATAGTCATTTGTAAATTAGTGAAGTATTCAGTTCCGGGGGAAATTATCCTGTTATGTGTAGAAGCTATTAAAACAGTATTTTGGAAAGCCTCTTATTGAGCCAAATCATTATATACTTTAGATCATGCCTAATTAGATGCCAAATTGTATACCATAATTAAAATTTTAATGTTAGGGTTTTACATTCTGAAATTAAATCTCTTAAAGCTTTATATTTTATTGGCGGCTTCCAATAGTGACCCAAAAAGGCAGCGCAGCAGCTCCCATAGTGGGCCCCAAGGACTGACAATAAATTGCATGGAGCTTTTCGTTCAAGGCAATGAATAAACAGCACAAGATGAGCTGTTCTCTGCCTATAACTGCTTCCTCTTCCCATCCCTGTGCATGCACTGGGTTCTAAATGTTGCTCTAAAAAGTCTTTTCCCCAAATATTAATTTATTATAAGTGGTAAATATTTTGGTAAGATTCAGTTTTAGGTTAAAAATGTTTCATGAGCAGTGACATTTATAGCCTAGGAAACCACAGGTTTTCCACAACTGTTTTTCAATAAAACTCCATTTTTGTCTCACTTGGAAGTAGATCCCATCAGCTAGTATTTCTCTAAATACAAATGCCTAATATCGTGTAATTATATATCAAGGTTTTAGTCCTATTTGCCATTCTTATAATTTCACTTTGTTCCTATGCTGTGAGCCCTCACATACTTAAAACTCATATTTGTCTTCAACAAATATAAATCACAGTGATGAAAAACAATATACGGAAATTGAAAATTTTCAGTTATACTTTTGTTTTTAATCATAAAGTCCCTCTATATCATTTTCCTGCCTCTGCTGCTATTCGACTCTGTGTACCTACTAGAATCACTATCTGCTTGCTTTAAGTTCCCCTATATAACATATTCATGTCAAAGTGTGTTGCTCTGTCGGTGCCGAATTCACTTCAATAAAATGCTATGTGCGTCAACAGAAGATGCTACTAACAAGTAGATGGCGGTGGCTGGGGCTGCGACCTGCTGATGTGTAATAAGATAGTGACAGGCCTCCAGCAGACGGACCTTAAATCAGAGCAGACAGATGGCGATCAGAAAGATGAGATTAAGAGCTATGATATCAAGACTCCTCTTCCACCCTCTAGCAATCCAAAAGGGTCATCTCCCTTCTGTACTGCCAGGCCATACCAGAGAGTATGTGTATTTTCTACTCTATGTCGGTTCCATTTTTGGGTGGTTTGTTTTTTTGTCAGCCGAGGAAAGCTACTCACAGCAAGTCAGTGCTGCCTCCTTTGAGTGGCTTGTCAACATGAGTATGTGCGAACAGTGGAGTTGTCTAACCTCTGCAGTCTTGATGAGGCAACTGCAAATGGAGAAAAGGGCTTTAGAGGAACTTGGATGATTGAGTACAAAAATCTCAGATGAGAAAGATTATCCCCTGCATACAGGGATCCTGAACACACTAGTAGACCTTCTTTCTCTCAGACATCAGCCACTCCTCTCCCTTCCCTCTAGACCAAGTTACTAATGAAAATTTATTCCAGTGTGATTCGACTGTACTTTCGAATTACTGTGTATTCCTCCTTAGATGAAGCCTGTAACAAAAGCAGCTCCCCATGGTGTTTCTGTTTGTGAAGCAAAGATTGCTCCTGGAGAATTCAGGATGGTGTTTTTTTTTCCCCCTCCAAGTGTTGAAGAGCTTCCTCACTAATTGTAATTGCAATAAATTCCTCCTGAACTTTGTTAACATGTTCTGTGATATTAACAAGTTAGAAGAGATGTAAAACACAGATCACGGGTTATATTTGAACTGATTTTAAGGGCCATGATAGCTATAACTCTGAAAAGAAATAATGGTTCTAGGCAATTGGCTTACTCCAGACAGTGGGACTATTTTTATCTTCTTTTATTGTCTACCAAATACAAGTAGCTTTGTGACTGCTATTTCAAAGTGGTCTCTCCTTCAGAATGGCTGTTTTCCTTTGTGAGGTATATAACACAAGTCTAATGTCCACAGAAGGAAATAATACTAATTGGGAAATTACTGTTGGCTTTGTGTTTGTTTAATTCTCTTCTCATAGTTGTGCTTGTTTATTTAAGGCCTTCTGCCTTGGTCAGAGGTGAAAATATCTGATGAGTCAGGGTTTCTAAGATGAAATATAAAACTTGCAATATGCAAACATGTAGGGTGGCTGTGGAGTTAATTTCCATTTACTAAGGACCTTTAGTCCAAATCCAACTTCTAACTAAACATATTCTTTGAGAACAGAAGAGTAAAGAAACACAAATCATGCAGATGAGTATTGTTCTTCCTAGATGTGGACATTAGCCAAAACTGTCCTTTCCAGGATTTTATAAATTATGTTTAAAAATGTAAATGAGGTGCCATGGGTTCATGCATCAGCCGTTTACAAGGGTCTGTTTTTGATGAAAGCAAAGTAAACTTCAAGCAGAGCAAACCAACTTAAGAAAAGAATTTCCAGAAAGCTATGCAAGGTCAGAGAATGATATTAGCATTTGCTAAACAGGTTTTTTTTGACGTTATAAGCAGAAATGCAAAACTACTGTACCATCCGTTGTCATTTTCCTCGACTGCCCAGATGTTGTGGTTAACCTAAATCCAGCTGGTAACGTTTCTGAGGATCCGGGCATCATGCTGATTCCGTGTACTTCACGGGGAGGAAACTGTCTTCTCCATGTTGACCCACGCCTGAAATTCTTATCATCACTCTGCCAGTACAGAATTATAATTGGATGTAGTAACAGCAAATAAACTAGTCCAGGTCCTTAAAGCTGTGCAGTTAGACCATGCAACACTAATTATCCTTTACAGTCAGTCTGTAAAGGATACCTATAAAATATGCTTTATTTGGAGAGCTCTATTGATGCCAAAACAATAACACAGGAGATTTGCAACAGAAATGTTTTTATAAAAATTTTCCTGTGACTCCAAATCTAAGGTTTGCTATCTGTAAAAGTAAATAGTTTTGAAATCCTAAAGTAAAAGCCCAAAGTTTTTTTTTTTCTGAAAAGAATATTAGCTCTTCTTTGTCACACTTTATGCCAACTGATTTTATAGTATGAGATTATATATTTAATTCACTAAGTGTTAGGCAAACTGCATTTGACCTATGAACTTGAATAACTATTTCATGAGTTTTTTATGTAAACAAGAGATGTATGGGAAAGCTATACTTTTTTTTTTTTTTTAATGTTTTATTTCTAGGAGAGAGAGAGAGACAGCGTGAGCAGGGGAGGGTTAGAGAGAGAGGGAGTCACAGATTGAAACAGGCTCCAGGCTCTGAGCCGGCAGTCAGCACAGAGCCCGACGCGGGGCTCGAACCCACGAACCGCGAGACCATGACCTAAGCGAAAGTCGGACGCTTAACCGACTAAGCCACCCAGGCGCCCCGGGAAAGCTATACTTAATACAGCCTGGATCATATGACGTACTGTAACCTATAGTCTGTGTAAGAAACTAAATTTGTCATTTGTTAGATTTCAGCTGATACTGAATTAACTTGTGGTTTATTGAAGAACCTGTGGAGCCCAGAAGCCATCCTTGTAATACATACGTGTGCCCTTTAGATGCTACTAAAAGCATAATATAATTCTGGTTGCTGTTTTACAAGTGTATTCCTGGCTGCTGATTCTGTTATATCATGATGATATAATCTCTTCCCTCTGCGCATACACAAAGCATCTGCTTAGATACAATGAACTTTCTCTATATTCATAAGGAGTGATATGTAATCTAGTGTTTAACAAGTATCATTCTTTATTCAACACAAATTATTCTTTGTGTCAAATTCTAAGGAAAATATTAATCATTCTACATAGATCTTATCTTCTTATGTCACTAAGTTTCTCATCGAGGGAATGGCTGTCTCTTCCCTGAAGTTAATCTCAGTGTGTGTGGTTGCCCCGACTAGCTCAGGTGACTTCATTTTGGCATACAGAATAAGAGATTGATACTTAGCTCAAACTATCATTGTTCTAAATGAGTACAATTATAAGGTATTCTTCATCGTGGCCTGCTAATTGAGTTGACATTCAGAGTCAATTTGGAAAAATAAAATCATTTATGAAATGATATACGTCCATTGTTCTACTAGAATCCATAGTTTCCAAATCTAAATTTTGTTTAGACTAGGGAGCCATTTTACAATTTAAGAGATGTCTGCTATGTATTTTTTCTCCACTGCCAGTTTCTGCAATGTCCTAAGCCTCCCAAATATTTATAAATAAAGAAAAGCAGCAGAAGTTCATAGTTGTGGCCTCGGATTTCTTGAATTTTGGAAGAGTTGTTGCATAAACATAAATACTCTTCAGTTCTACAAAACACTACAGTACATTGTAGGGATATACAACTCCTGTAATGTATGGATTAGGGACTCAAAAATAAGCAAGTTGAGGATTTAAATCATGATACCTTTTGCTCTTTTATCACAGCCTTCTCTCAGAAAGTTAATGGGACCCACAAGTGACATCAGAGGAAAAAGTTTCCATGAGATTAAGTTAAAGGATAGCCACTTAACTGAAGTGAAAGTGTGTAGAAGCACACAAGCACTTCTCAAAGTCTTGCAGTGGGAGCTGAATGTAACCAGCCCCAGAAACAAGCACACATTCTGGGTAAGCTGTTTAGCTAGTTTTGTTCACACTCAAGAAACAGAAACAAAAAAATAAAAACAAAAAACAAAGAAACAAACAGAAAAGTAGGACAAAAGAGACTACAGTGTTTGAATAAAAAAATCGTGTGCTATGTTCTTTATTTAATGAAGAAGAAAAAGATGCAGCATATTTTAAAGGCAGATAGTCACACTCCAGTTAGACCTTTCTGCTTGTTTGTTACTTTCAGAAAGCAACACTAACTCCTGTACCTTTCTGTCTCTACCTGGCTCCTTTGAGTCAATCCACATTTTAAAATGTAGCAATAGGATGGCTCTTTAAGAATTTTTATTAAAATTCCTTTTGTAACTTAATAACACATTTTTTAATGTTTATTTATTTTTGAGAGAAAAAGAGACAGAGAGCAAGAAGGGGAGGGGCAGAGAGAGAGGGAGACATAGAAATCCAAGCAGGCTCCAGGCTCTGAGCTGTCAGCACAGAGCTTGACGTGGGTCTTGAACCCGCAAACAAGAGATCATGACCTGAGCCAGGCAGACACTTAACTGAGTAAGCCACCCAGGCGCCCCTCCTTTTGCAACTTTTAAGCAAGGAGAATAATTGTATTCAAAAGCATGTAGGGCTTTTTTAGCCTATCTTTTTGATTCAACAATTAAGAATAAGGATTAAAAAGATTATCAAACAACTTAAAAATTAAAATCAGTTAATTATTAACTGTTTTAAAAATATCAATCATTATCTTGCTTGATCAGAAGTATGGATTTATAGGAAGTTAGCTGAGGTCAAAACCGTAGAGCTAATCGGTCTATAAATGCCTCTACAAAGGAAAGCTTGGGTTTTATAAATCCAAGATCATCATCCCTGCCCATGTGAATGTGGAATAATTGCCTCATTTTAGGATTTGCTGGGTTCATTCACAAAATTATTTTAATCAGCTTTTCTTTCTAGCCAAGAAACACCTGCAGTTTGCAACACAGAATTATGCATCTCTGCATTTTCCACTTCATACTCAGGTTTTCTTTCTACTTCTTCCAGAAAAACCCTGTAAAAAACTCAGATGGACTCTTAAAATCCACAGCATCTATCAATGCACAGAGATTGTTAATGTCCCTTGCATTCCTTTGTCTTAGGAGTCTATTCTCGTTTATTATTTTCCAAATGATTTAAACGTGAATATATTATGTTTGGGATTCTTTCACTACACTTTTCACTTCCACTTTTAAATCCAATGACTGTTAAAATGTTATTCATATGTTTTTAAGGAAAACTCGGTGTCGCTATCTAAGATAATGAAAAGCTTCCCATTTACTGAAAGCAAGTTTTCTCTTCATTGTAATATCCTAAAATTTATTGTGAAGATATACTGATATTTAGGACAGAAGCACACAATTACTTAAAAGCTGAGTTTATCAGGATTAGTGTTATCATTGCTTTTTTAAAAAATGTTACTCAACATAATTTTGCAGTCATAGCTCATAAGAATCTGGTTTTGAATTACTTCTAGGTATTTCTAACTGCTGACACGATAATATTTATGAATTCATAAACGTTCTTCCAAAAACCAAATGACTAATAAAATGTAGTAATTAGGCACTATCCTTAGAAAAATTCTAGATTCTATCCAGAGAACAAGCATCCAGTTAATTTTTGAGTACTATTCCTTGAAAGTTGTTTTACTTGCACTCTTATATCCCTTGTGAATGACGGGTAAGTACTTACTTCATCCAGTCGCCGTTCAGTTCCGAGAGCCAGGAGGTTATTGTATTCCCTTTCGAGAATCTGCCTTGCCTGTTGACATCAAATTACAGTTACCACCACTGAAGTCACACTTTACTTTAAATGTCACAGAGATTATATTCATCTGAGGAAACATTACAAATCCTGTTTTATTTAAGGAGTCTTAGGATTTCAGCTCTCCATGTCTAAAAGCCATTGCAAGTTTTAGATGTAAATACAAGGTAGGGCAATTTTCTTTAGTCTGTGGACAGTGGAGAAATAATGCCACATACATGTCTGAGGTCAAGGGGCACTTTGTTACTTTAATCCCACTGAATATTTTATATAAACTTTGCAGTATATGAAAACAAAATGAAAAATGAAATTAGACTACCAAATTTTTATCAAGTCTATACAGATAGTTCTCAAACTTGGCTAATGCTCTTATTTGGGGAAACTTTAGATACACTGGATTCCTATACCCAATCTTTGGATATCTGATTTCTTAGGCCTGTGCTATAGCTTGTGGGTTTTATTTTAAAATTTTAAGAAACTCTGGTGATTGGAATAATTATCCAGGTTGGGGAATCAGTGGCATACTCATTGCTAAGTGTCTGTCTAATTCAGACATGTAAATAGAAATGAATGCCTCTCAGAGAGATAGAGACTGAAAGCCATCTGCCAGGGATATTGTTTTGGGAAATCTGGCATTCAGGTGGAAGGCTGGACTACATAACATCTAAATCCCTTTTCCTGATTAATTTCATGATTTTGTTTTGGCTAGAAATCCAGTGGCTTGCAATTAAAGCCCCAGTGACTTATTTCAAAGGTTGAGCTGAGCTAACTCTCATTAGGGTTCATGGACACACAGCCAATTTTTTTTTTCTCCCCACAAGTGTACTTTATCGTTCTATAAACTAGGACACGGAGCAACTACAGTAGAAAGGGGCTTGCCTGGGTGTTCTGTGTTGGAATCTGTAGTAACAAAGCTAAGCTGCTGTAGTCAAAGTTCTCATCCAACGCTATCAGGGAGCCGTGCACACCACTCTCAAGAATATTATTTGCATATTCTCGAAGTCCAATTGCTTGTATCCAGCGAATAACTCGATCGTTGCTCCACACCAGCACATCTAAGAAAAGAGGTGCATCGTTTTAGGCTGCAGTATTTTGCACCATAAACAAAAATACTGGGTGAAATAAGCCACAGGTGCTGGCTGAGCCAGCATTTATGCTGGTTTCTTTATCCACTCCCTAATGCTTTGGCCTCCTAGTGTAGCATGTATTTACCATTCTCAGAGCTAACCTGTCTTACTTTTAGCCTAGAAAAAAAAGTTGTCATTTGGAGTGTTTGTTATCACTGAAAAGCACTTCCAGCACATGGAATACAATGTCTCATAGTGTTTGCTGTTTCATTCTAGAGCTCCAAGGATCTGTCCCCAGCTCAATGGTTTCGTTGCCAGACAGTGGTATTTCTTATTCCTGTCTTGATATAGAGCTCTTTAGTAAAGATAGAAAAATGATAAGCTAATATGGGTTTCATCATTGTTTTTTAACCACTAATTAAATACTGAATATAGACCTGAAGAGTCTTTTTTCTACCTGAAGCAATAAAAGCAATAAATCAAAGAACAGAACACTAAGATAGAACAGGGATTCCATAGTCTGAAATTTACCCCACTATTTTGTCAATTCATTATTTTTCAATCACATGCTAATGCAAAAATCAAGCACTTGGTCAAGTCACATGTTGTTTTTCCTATTAGGTTGAAAGTAGTATTTTATTGAGATATAGAACACTTAAAATTTTATTTTCTAAAACTAAAAACTTTAGAGAAAAATGTCATGTGCCTTTTTCAGATTTTTGCTCTACAGTGTCATAGTATATTTTATCATTTTTTCCCCATTTCTTGTCTTTGTGAGTTGACAGAATTCTACATAAAAACCAGTAAAATAGAACACCAGAATGCTCTACAGAAAAGAAGAAGAATTTTAAGGCTGGAAAAGAGGAATGTGAAAAAATGAAAACTTTTTTTCTAATCTTGTAAAAATGGAAATAAAACCCATAATTTAATTTTACAATAAAATTTTAAGTTTTCTTGTTAATTTTTTTCTTTCTGAATGAAATTCATGGCTTTGCCAGAAAAAATATAAAGAATACGTTGGGATATATTCTTCAGCTTCAACTGTTTATCTTCCTTCATCTTCCCCAATTTAAATTATAAAAGTCTTTAAAAATCAAGGTAGTAGTTGTTTTTGTTTTTGTTTCTTTGGTGGTGGCAGAGAGAGTATTTACATTCTGTTTAAGTTTTTCAAAAACATTACTAATTTGTTCTAATACATTCACTTATAATCAAGTTAGGTTTTCTTATGCCTAATATTAAAGCATTACAGTGACAACTCAGCCCAAGGAGTCTTCTCATGTCATAGTCTCAGTCACTGACCTCACACTGATAGTCACCAATATTCTAACTATTCTCACTACAGATTAGTTTTGCATTTTAGTTGTGATTTTTTAGCTTTTTATAAATAAAATCATGCAATATGTACTTTTGTGTCTATGTCTTTCACTAAATATGAGATTTATCTCTGCTATAGAAAATAGAAGTGTCTTATTTTCATTGTTATTTAGTATTCCATTGTATGATTATACCACAATTGATCATTCTTTACTGTTGATGGACATTTGGCTAGATTCCATTGTAGGTTATTAAGGATACTGCTGCTTTGAATATTGATAGAAATGCTAAATAAATTCCACTCTCATAATTTAAAGCCCAATAACTATGTATAAAAGTCTGCATCTTTACCAATCTTTTGTTTTTCATCTGTTTTATTTGCCTTTTTTTTAAGTCATTATGGTAAATTTCTTGTTATGGGTTGAATTGTGTCCTCTCAAAATTCATATGTTGAAGTCCTAATCTCCTGTACCTTAGAATATGACCTTACTTAGAGACATAGTCCTTATCGAAGCATTAAGAAGAGGTTTTTAGGGTGGGCCCCAATCCAATATGATGGTTTCCTTCTAAAAATCGGAAATTTGGAAATAAGATATGCACACAAGGAAAACAGCACAAGAGAAAGGCAGAGATCAGGGTGGTGTGTTTAAAAGGTAAGGAACATCAAGAGTGACAGAAAACCACCAGAAAGTAAGGGAGTGGCATGAAACTGATTCTTCTTCACAGCCTTTAGAAGGAATGAAACCTGCTAACACCTTAATCTAGCCTCCAGAACTCTCAGACAATAACATTTCTGTGATTTTCCAGAAAAAGTATAAAGAATACTTCGGGAAACATAGTTTCTTTTTCTGTTGAAACTTTAAAATAGCCTTTATTTGTAAAGAGTATTTTTTAAATGTTTATTTATTTTGAGAGAGAGCGAGCACGTGTGCATGAGACAGCACAGGAGCACATGTGCAAGCAAGGGAGTGGCAGTGAGAGAGGGAGAGAGAAAATCCCAAGCAGGTTCCATGCTGTTATCATGCTTGATCTCATGAAGTGTGAGACCATGACCTGAGCCGAAATCAAGAATGTGATGCTCTACTGACTGAGCCTCCCAGGCACTCCTTAAAGAGTATTTTTAAGTACACAGAAAAACTGAGCAGGAAGTACATTGTTCTCATATATCCCTTGCCCCATAGATGCATAGACTTCCTGACTGTAAAATCCCTCACCAGAGTGCCACATTTGTTATGACAGACAAACTGCTTTGACACAAAGTCAGTAGTTAACATTAAGGTTCACTGTTGGCTTCACTCTACAGGTTTGGACAAATGTATGATGACATGTATCCATCATTATAGTATCATACAAAATAGTTTCACTAAAAATAGTTGCTCTAAAAATCCCCTTGCAACATTTATTTCACTCTCCGTCTCCACTAACTGCAGGCAACCACTGATCTTTTTCCTGTCCATAGTTTTACTTCATCCAGAATGCCATAGAATCGGAATCGTGTGGTATGATTCTCACAGTATAGTTATATAGTACTTTTCGTTCAGTTAGTAGTATGCACTTAAGGTCACTCCATCTCTTTTCACAGTCTGATAGTTCATTTCTTTTAGCCATAATAAATTTTTATATACAGACCCTGCTAAATTCACATATTAATTTGAATTATATGGCACATCATTAGATTACCTGGATTTTCTATATATTTTTTCCAATCCTTATATTTTTTGTTAGTTAATGAGGAACACGTGAAGAAAGACCCACAATGCCCTCTTGCTACAGTCTTATTACTATTTCCTGTTCTGGTCAAAGCAGAATGAATTTCTTACGGGAGTAGGTCGTTTACTGACTCCCTCAGACTTTTGGCTCTTTATTTCCCCATTCTTCAACAAAACAAGACTTCCTTAATGATCTTTACTATATTTTATATTATATATTATATTAATTGTATTATATAATATATTGTATTATATTATATATCATATTATAATATATATATCATATATATTCACTAGGTCTTCCCGGGTCATTCCTAAAGTATATAGTTTCCTCTGAGTTTTCTTTAGCTTGTTCTATTGCAGTGTTAAATCTCAGAAAATGGGATGTCAATTGGTGAGTATTATATTTTGGTTACTTTAATCAACTTCTGTTGATAACAACTGATTAGTTCAAACTATTGGTTACACTAAACTTGCACTTCAAAAGTTGGGCAGGAACCTGCAGCTGACAGCATCAGTTTTCCCATTGCTTTCACTACGAGAAACTCTTTTTAAAACTAATAGGACAACAATTTCCTCAAAAAATAACAAAACTGTCTAGTTTTCTTTGCATCAAGTGGAGCGTCAATAGGTGTGTTCGTTCTTTTCTAGAGATGGGTTTATATTTTGATAGTCTAAGACATTCGTAGCTATCATATTTCTGCAAATATGTCTTCATTAAAAATTCCACTGACACATCTGTAGTTAAGAGTTCTCAGACTTACAAACTATATTTACAAAATAATATATAGAAAATGATTCACTTATTTATAGGGTGATGGTAAATAAGGCACTAATCTAAGCTTTTCTTTTTCAGAACAGCAACATATCTTTCTTTTTTCATTTGTAAATCAGACCCCTTTCTACAAATCTGTTTTCAAGCAAAATTTATGCCCTGACTTTTAAAGCTTTGTAAGGATCCTCTTGACCTAAACAATAAATGGCTAGAGATCAGTGTTGACTGTTTCCTAGCAACAAATTAAATGTTAGTACATTCTTGATATTCACTCGGTCCCCTCACTTCAGAAAGCTGTTTATTAAGGTCAAGGTTAATTAACACTTCAGATAATAACAGAGACCCCTGGTCAGAGTCAAGAGTTATTTCTGTAAATGTCACTGGATCAGTTACAGGAAACAGGGGCTATTTATGATCTCACCCACAGCCACCCATCATATGGAGCTGTCTGTGTATAATCACAGTGAATCACAGCACCTTTTCTTAGGGCTATGCTCTAACCAGCAACTGCCAAATACTAATATAATATTTGGTGTAGGGCCAAAGGGGTAATTCCTCCTTCTCTTTTACATCTATCTATATATGAAGCATTCCATGTCCTGAAACTAAGCCTTATAAGATCTAATGGAAAAAATACATCAGAAAAAAAACCAGAAAATGGTTATCTCATGGGTAAAATCTGTGTGCCAAAACATCTTTTGTTAAGTCAAGCATAGACTTCCTTCTAGGGTCTTTGGTTGATCAATTAGTTCCCAAATTTCAATTCAAATGAATGACAATGTACTGAAAACAACTTGCAATTTTCTGGGCTCCAAAATAATGTGAAATCAAACAACTCAATTTTGATAATGGAAAAACACTTTCTTGCTCCTAAGGAATGAGTCAAATGAACTGTTAGAAGAAATCCATTGTGTGTCTATCTACTCTCCAATGAACCATATATAGAAAAATATATCAACCAATGACATTTGCATGCACTGAAGACCATTCCACTAGAATTAATGTGCTGTCCAAAAACTGCCAAAGATAAAAGTAATTTCTGACATTATTTATCACAGATGAAAATGATAGAAGTCTAAGATAATCTTAAAGAATAAGACAATGCTAAGTTTGAATCGGAGGGGAAGGGTAACATAACATGCGGTACATACTATTTTCATATCTAAATTGGGCCCCAGAGGAAGTGAAGATGAAAACAGAGACTCATGGCTAATTGTAAACAATTAATGTTTAACCCCTATTCAATTTGATGAAATGCTTCCACATGTCAACTCCTGGTAACACTAAATGGAAATACAACTGATAGTTTATTTTGCTTCTATCCAAAATTTCCCACAAGAATTTTTGGTTATATTTCCCTTAATGAGAATTTTTTTCCTTAAAAAATAAAAATAGATGTCACTGGACTGATGATTTTCACCGAAAAGACCCATAGATACTTATACCCAACAATTATATATTTTTCAACAACAATAATAAAAGTAATATGGTATGTAATAAGTATAGGATCTAATGTGTTGTTCTTTTAAACAATTCTTTCCCCTGTATATTAAGGTACTTCTCAACATTTAGAGAAATAATTATTAAATACAGTAGTTATCTAATCTGTAATAGGGAATGCCTTTTTTTATTCAAATCAAACATTTTTGTACACATAATAGTTGCAGCAATTACAAATGTTTCTAATTATTTATTTGACTTAATAATTATAGCTAAAATTATCAATGGGCTAGTCTCATTTATAGGGGGGAGTCTCTATGTAACTTCTATATACAATCCCTATATAATTTCTGTAACTAATGTACAAAAATAAAATTTCTAAGCACTGAAATAAAATTCAAATGATATAAACCAAAGACGAACTACTATAAATAAATTATATGTCATGTTTCTCTGAATCATATGAGAATGTTCTATTAAAAGTTTGACAAAAATATCTGCATGGAAGCATCTTTAGGACAAACAGCATGTAAAATTAATAGGTTCAGAGGAATAAATATCAATTTCAAAAATCAAGAATATGTCTTAGGATATTCACCTTATACGGTGATGATATCCTTTCAATGTTTTAATCATAAAAGTAATGAAAAAGAAATAATGATGACACTATTTTAGACAAATACTTAAGCTACTTAGTGACCACTGTAACATGTAAAGCATTTTAGGTTCATAAAAGTGAAAGCTACCCTCCCCCAAAGGCATTTAGTATGGAAGAAAGACGTATTACCCTTTATTTCATGTTGGCTTGCTTCTCGTCTTCTTTCTAGTTCTTTTCTGTCATAATTTAACCTCTTTAAACACATAATTCCATATTGTAAACTTGTTCTGTTATTTTTTTTTTTTAAAAAAAGAAGAGAAAACACATTGAATTTACTCAGCAGAGAATGCATGTTCTTTGATTAAACATAGTTAACATTTTGCATTACTTATTAGGGCAGCAGAATAATAAATTATGCTTGTAATCAAATCCTTTAGTACAGGAGGGAAATAAACTGCAGTTATTCTAAGCATACAGTGTTTGTGAAGAGTAAAAATATCAATTTCAAAATAAGAAAACCATAGTCTTTAAGTTGATTATGGATTATGTTGTTCATCCATGTCTTTATCTTCCATCAGGCTGTCTTGGCATTATTTGCTGACAAATGAACATTTTACTCATTTGGAAATAATTTAAAGTCATAATATGAAAACAGGAAGGACTTTATGAGAGATGAATACTTTTCTTCTTAAGCTGCTGAGAAAAATAAGATAAAAACATGAATAAGTTAAAATAAGATAGAGACCCACATACCAAAATGAATAGCCTCCACCTCTCAGTGATACAGAAGTAAGTGAAAGAAATAGGTTGGCAGACATGACACTCCCTGTGGAAAGGATACTGTGGAAGAGCAGAAAGCTGACTGTCCTTAAAAGATCAGGCAGGAGAGAAAAGGTCGATAAAAGAAATGAAGCATCATGAACACAGGGATGCCAATGAAATTTTAAATGTGTGGTGATAGAGAGACATACTGCACAGCATTGTAAATTCATGATAGGGAGTAGGGAGGAATATGGTGACATATATATGGGGTAGCATAATGGGGTTACGTTATGGAAAGCTTGCATTCAGCAAAAGCATGGAATACATGCAGGTGACAGAGAACTACTGGATGGTTTTCACAGGGGAAAGAAATGATCATAATGGCATTTGCTACCAGGTTAGCCTTCCTTAAACCGAAATGATCAGTTTAAGGAAGGCTAACCTGGTAGCAAAATCGGAGATATGTAAAATAGGCAAGCCTAGGAATAGGGCAATCATTTAAGGGGTCAATGCTGTGAAAATAAAGGGCACAAAAAGGACAATTGCCATGAACATAAGAAGAAAACTCAGCAACTAGAGACATTCAGAGAGAAGAAAGAAGACATGGTGATATTAGATATAAAGGATGTGACAGGGTGCAATACAAAAAAAAAAGAATTTCCAGGCTTCAAGAGTAAAAAACATTGCTATTAGTGATTTCTGATTTAGAAACACACACAAATTCAGACACACACTGACCAGGTAATGCCCAAGCACTGGATGCTTTTCTAAGCCTTGCATTTTAATAAGAACAATGCTGAACTAAAATATTTCACAATCAGAAGAAATTGGAAAAAATTCCAAGTGCTATGGGCTGAATTATGTTCCCCCAAATTCAGACATTCAAGCCCTAATCCCCAGTATTTCAGAACATGAATATATTTAAAGACAGTGTTTTTAAAAAGGTAATTAAGTTAAAATAAAGCCCATAGGGTGGGTATTATTCCAGTCTCACTGGTGGGTGTTGTCACAAGAAGAGGAAATTTGGACATGCAGGGAAATCAGAAGTGTACACACAGAGGAAAGGCCATGTAAGGACACAAAAAGAAGGCAGCCATTTGCAAGCCAAGAAGAAACCAGTCGTGCTGACGCCTTGATCTTGGATTTCTAGATTCCAGAACTGCGAGAAAATACATTTCTGTGGTTTAAGCCACCCAGTCTGTGGTATTTTGTTACGGTAGCCTCAGGAAGCGAATTCAGTGGAAAAATGGATAATACTGATGTAATAACAGTCGTAGACATTAGGCAGCTTGAGGTTAAACCAATGGCTCTTGGCTAATTTCTGCCAAGTTTTTATAGGTAATAGAAAATTGTACCATAAGGATGATATATATTATTACTTTAGTGTCTGTCAGATGAAAAACTGCCATAGAAACAGTGGGATGCACTTTATAGTCAGTGCTTTAAGTCTGAAGTAAGCATAGTGTAGAGATTGAAGCTTGTATATTTCCCAGAACAAAAAGAATGCTGCTGTTTCAGTAATTTTTATTTAAAGGAAAGACAAAACTTGGGGTGTTGGGGTGGCTCAGTCAATTAAGCATCTGACCTTGACTCAACTCATGACCTCACAGTCTGTGAGCTGGAGCCCGGCATTGGGCTCTCTCCTGCCAATGCAGAGGACGCTTCCAATGCTGTCTCTCTCTCTCTGCCCCTCCCTCACTTGCTCTCTCTCTCTCTCAAAAATGAATAAACATTTAAAAAAATCTGATCATTGTACTAATCATTTTTACCATGATGTAAAGCAATTAAAAGTCAATCTAGAGGGATGCCTGGGTGGCTCAGTTAGGTAAGCATCCGACTTTTGATTCTGACTCAGATCGTGATCTCAGGGTTCCTGAGCTTGAGCCCTGCATGGGGTTCTGCACTGACAGTGTGGAGCCTGCTTGGGATTCTCTCTCCCTCTCCCTCTGCCTCTCCTCCCTAACTCAAAACAAATAAATAAACTTAAAAAAAACCCACAGATTTTTTTTAAAAAAAGTAAATCTAGTGAAAATGTAAAATAGGCACAAATATGCCATCAAAGTTTCTAGTATTCAAAATCTAATACAACCACACGAAACTGGAAGGCCTAAATGTTCAGTGACCGGGAACTCACGACCTAACATTGTGTATACCATATGGAAATTGAGAGTCACACAGAGCTCTTCTTTCTATTGAACAGAAATCATTCACCCTACTACCTACATATACCTGAACTAGAAAAGTACATGTTAAATAGAGCAAATATTCTTCCATCATGTAATAATATTAAAACATAGGAAAACATAAAAAGTCTACCCTTATTCAAGCTACAGGTCTTCAATTTATTCAGCTTTTCCACTGGGATTTTACCTATCAGTAACAATTAAATGCCCATAAATTAATACAGTTTCTTACTGTCATTTCATCATATGATAAACTTTTATTGCATCTGCCAAAAACCACTGTGAAGCCATTAAAGAAAACTGAGATTTCTGTGCCAACTATAAATTGTAACTTTTTCACTTGATCTACTTTTAAATCATGGATTCCCCATCTAGCATTCTAATGGCATTTAAATTTATACTATATTTATCTCTTTTAAATTTAATCCAACAGTATCAACAACTGTATTAAGATTCAAAACATCTCCATAAGTTTAATCAAAGAGCTCTGACTGTTATCTCTTTATCCGATCTTTATGTCCTCAACATATCTGATATTTATAACTTCTTCATTTCAGTCACTAATTAAATGTTGGACAGGATGTAATCAAATAGGGTTTTATAAGCAAAATCATCTAGATTTATATTTATTAATTTAGCATCATAATAAACTATATATGAAGCCATAAAACAAACTCTTAACTACAGAGAACAAACTGAGGATTGCTGGAAGGAAGTTGGCTTCGGGGGGTGGGCTAAATGGGCAACGGGCATTAAGAGGGCACTTGTGATGAGCATTGGGTGTTACATGTAAGTGATGAATCACTACATTCTACTCATGAAACTAATATTACACTATATGTTAACTAACTGGAATTTAAATAAAAACTTGAAATAAACAAACAAAAAGGAATCATAACCCAGCTGACAATTTTTTACATAGCCTACAAAGATATCAGCATGACTTTTACGACATGGTATTATAACAAGCTTCTTTTTAACCCCTAGATGGTAAACAACCTGAAAAAAGAGGTTGCATTTTATTCACTGGTGTGCTTGTAGCTCTCACAATCCAGTCAATATTTTTTTCTGAAAATTAACGCACAAATAAGCAAAAATATTAAAAGATTCACATGAAACCCAAAATTTTTTTTCTTCAGAGAATTCCTTCTCAAAAATTTTCTAGTATATACCTAAATTGTATAATTGGTAACCACATATATTTATAGAGTTGAAATTGACTTAATTTTAAAAATTCTTATTAATTTCCTAATATAAAAACATACACAGAATCAAATCACAAACATGGAATTTCCTAAAGACAAAGAAAAAAAAAGGTTTATGCTGAATGAGAATTGTGTATATGTGCAGTTCCATAAACTTTGGGCTCATAATATGTACACAGCTCTACATTCAATAGTCCTTGCAATTTACCACATGAAAATATTTTGCCAGCTATATGTATCCAGATGTTTTGAATAGCATATATTCTCTATTTTCTAGACAGCTACTTTTGTTCTAGTCATGTATACATTATTTCTTGTCTCATTTTAATTACTGTTTGAAAATACCTACCGATGGAAACTATCCACCATTTTTAAATGGACACGGAGATCTTTTTTTGTTAGGTGATCTAACATTCTTGCATCTACCAAGCATTCCATAAAATAACTTCTGTATTGAGGTAACCCCAGGCTGGGAAGCCATTCGTTTCCAATCCACTCATGGTTCATATCTCCATACGCCAGAGTCTGTAGAAAAACCGGACACTAGAATTGTTTTATAGCAGTCAAGTTTCTTAGCCAATAAAATGAGATTGTAATAGGAGGATACTGTATATCATCATAACTGACGTTTAATTACTATGATATATGAGAAAAAACCAAAAATAATATGTAGACTCTAAGCATTTGATTTAATTTGTTATCAAATGGAACTCTGGGTACATGTATCACATGGTACCTGCCTCTAAAAAATAATTGTGTTCATTTCACTTTCTCAAAAGAAATCACATTCTATACTAACATGCATTTTTAAATTTAAAAAATGGATTTAAGGGTATAATATAAATGGTTAGCTTATAAGTTCTTTGTATACATCAGCTTATTTAATTTATTTTCATCTATCAGCTAATATGCCACCATTTCCTTCTCTTCGAGGATACTACTACCATTGCTGTAATGACAAATCTCAATGTGAAAATAGAAACCTTGGCAAACAAATAAAGAAAGGAGTAACAGGGCTAGAGAGACAGAACGCAGAAGCTTTGCATGGACTATGTTGTTATCTAGTGAAGCGCGCAGCCAGCGTTCCAGAAAGATCATTGGAAAGAGCATGCAGCCAGCATTCCAGAAAGACCATTGGAAAGAATCCATCTCTTTTTGGAAATCAATCAGGATAGCCTCTGTATTTAAGAAGCAGGGTTTGATTAAAAAAAAAAAAGACAAATACTCTAATTCTTTAATATAACAATATGAACAAAGTCATCTAACCAAACATTGTTCATAACAGCCAAAATGAAAACTAAAGTCAAACATCCCCTCTAAACCAATTTTTAAAAAGAACTCGCTATCTACTAATTTTATCATGCCTTTTTTTCAATTCTTTATGGTACAACAAATTCACCATTGAAACCATAACATCTGTTTCTACTGAAAATCTTAGGTGCTTCCTTTCTTTTGCCTGTTCTTGAAAATGATGAAATTCAAAGCAATATCAAAACCAAATACCACTTTAATTTACTGAACGCTTAAATACAGACCCTAGCGATAACTACCAAAATTTTCCTTACAGCCAAAGGTTTGAATCACGTGCGCTATTACACGTATGCATTCTTTCAGTTGTGTGTCACACGGAAATGCTGACATATGTGCAGCTCCCTTGCAAACACACAGGTTTGCTCAAAGTACACATGCTTCTGCCATAGCACCGTCTCCATGAACGGACATCAGTTTTGAGTCACAGGAGCAATGCTGACACACGTCCTTCCAACACCAGCCCTCCCGCACTACCCATTACATTTTAAAGCAGATGTTTAACGAGGCTTTTTTTAAATGCCCCTCCCCGTTTATATCCAACTTGAATGATTCCTTATTAAATATACTCAGGGGCAATTTCAGAGACATTTAAATTATAGTTCATTCTTTTGAAAAGAGAAAGATAATTTCCCTTTGTGAAAGAGACCAGATATGAAATGATAATCATTTTCTTTGTGAAACATGGTGATTTAAAAAGACATATATAGTATTACACATAATAAATTCAAGTATACATATTAGCCTAAACCTAAGCTAAGTGAAGGTTTATAATATTAGGACATACTACAGTTTCTTACTTTATATCCTCATCGCGTAGTAAACGCTACTGTTTTAGAGCATATGAATTTCCTACCTGGGCCCAGCTTCCTTCCTCAGATTCTTTCTGTGTTAGCAGCAGGAAATGATTAATAAAGCAGATAAATATGAATTAATCTCAAATGAAGACAGCAAAATTTTTCTAGCAGAAGCAAAATTGTTATTGAAAATGTTAATTCTGAGATAAGTAGATAAATACATGGATCCTTATTCAGATCCACAGGAATCAATTTAGCAGTTCAAGGGCAACTACAAGGACAACTACATAGTTTCTATTTAATTCCAGTTAAATATACACACATACAACATATGGGGTTTACATGATACATTTGATCTGGTCATTCCAAATCTTTTTTTTTATTCTTAAAGGTATGTAGTTTTCTAAATGTAATGAGCTGTAATAAAAATTTCTGATTATATGTATACAAATATACAATACACAATTAAAGAAATCTTTTTAAAAAAATTGTTTTAACATTTATTTTTGAGAGAGAGACAGAACATTATCAAAGGAGGGTCAGAGACAGAGGGAGACACAGAATCCGAAACAGGCTCCAAGTTCTGAGCTGTCAACACAGAGCCCGACATCGGGCTCGAACTCACAAACTTCAAGATCATGACCTGAGCTGAAGTTGGATGCTTAACTGACTGAGCCACCCAGTCACCTCTAAAGAAATCTTATAAAAGGTAAATTTTTTAAATGTTTTATTTATTTCTGAGAGAGAGAGAGAGAGAGAGAGAAGAGGAGCAGGAGAGGGTGAGAGACAGAGGGAGATACAGAATCTGAAACAGGCTCCAGACTCTGAGCTAGCTGTCAGCACAGAGCCCAATGCGGAGCTCGAACCCATGAACTGTGAGATCATGCCCTGAGCCGAAGTCGGTGGCTTAACCGACTGAGCCACCCAGGCGCCCCTAAGGTAAATTAATGAAGTGCAAAAAGAAACTGTTTCCCTCTAACAGAGCTTTGTGGTAATCAGATAGATTTCAGCAACAGTCAACAACAAACAAAATTAAACAACAATAAAACTAAACACAACAAATTCAACTAGAAATGTAATCAGGAAACACTGCCATTTTTACCCTTCATAAACTAGATAATTGATTTTTTTAATATGGACAACAGCGAAAGGACATTAAATTAAAAAAACCTGCTAAGAATAAAATGATGATATACTTACTTTAAAATAAATGACTACATATAACATTTTTAAAGCTGATAATTAATCCAAGTCACAAAAAACCCTTTTTAAGCCTGTGCTTTGAATATCAAATGAACAGAACATTTTGGGAAAAGGGTGGCTTAAACTCTGTATTGGTAAAGTACAAGAAACTAAGTTGTTATATTAAAAATAAGTATTCAGGGGCATCTGGGTGGCTCAGTCAGGTAAGCATCCAACTCTTGATTTTGGCTCAGGTCATGATCTCATGGTTTGTGAGATCGAGCCCTGTGTCCAGCTCTGCACTGATAGTACAGAGCCTGCTTGGAATTTTCTTTCCCTGTCTCTCTGCTGCTCCCCAACTTGCACTCTTTTAAGTAGGGTAGGGTAACATGTACTACCTGTGAATGTGCCCAATACTAGGTGATATCTGTTATTAAAATTTCCCAAAATTGAAAAATGGATAAAAAGGTATTCTTAAATTCTTGATTATCTGCATTACACAAACTCTTATGATATTAACCACATTATGACAGTCTAGCACTGCTTCATCAAAAAATATCCAAGTGTGGTAAAATCAAACCTTCATGAAAAACATTAGTTTTCATGCATATCACTATGTAAACATACCCATTACTCTAGTCTGTCATAAACAAGATAGTTTTTCATCCAAATAACAGCAAAATAATGTTTCTTCATGAGCAACAAAGCCGTAAGACTAACCGTTTTTGCTGGAGCGGCAAGATTTTCCATTTCTTCGTGGGTCACCCAAACGTTGCCTGAAGGCTAGTGAGGAGGTTCAGGGGGAGCGGCGGGGTCCACGCGAGGGAAGCAGTGGTAAAGAAGAAAGGCAGCAGTACTGTGAGTTAACAGCACCACAGCAACACGACAGTGCTCTCGCCTCTACAGCATGCACAGGAGAGACAGCATTGCTGGTTTGCTCAGAGCTCCCTTTTTCTTCTACTTAAAAAAGATTAAATAGAAAGAGGCATGCTGTGAAGCTCACGTGGGATAGGTTTAAAATGATACTCCTGCGATTATTAATCGGGAAAAAGGCTAAATCAAAATTTGCATTGCAAAGGTATGTAGCTATTGGATCCATTTTTTTTGTAATCATGAAGAACTGATTACATTTGATCTGTGGAGGAATGTATTTTTTTTTTTTTCTTCAGAAAACAAAGGCACAGGTACTTTGTTGTGTGATTACATTTCATTCAGAAAGATTTGATTCTTCGATGTCCTTGAAAAAAGAAAATTGGTTGTCAATACAAAACTGAAAGCACTATCATAACCTGTCTGGAAAATAATATCAGCTTTTCCCAGATGATCTCTTCCTTTTACAATTCAGTAGGTATGTTGTTTTCTTATATTCTTATAGAGGAAAAAGAAGTGAAATGCTGTTTTTAATTTAATAAAGGGTATTTTTTCAACCTTACTAAATATTGTCAGAAATTACAAAAGCTTGGTTTCTTAATTTCTCAGCAGTGTACTATACGATTATAGAGAAGAACATGGTGTAAGAAAAAAAATTCCCTCCAGCAGGAACTGTTCTTTTATAAAGTCTCATTTGCTTTCTAAATAAGATAACCCATGATACTTGTTCTATATGCTGAATGATGTACAACTTCGAAACTTAAGTCCAGTCAGTAACATACAGAGCAGGCATATTACGCCATTTCAGTGGGAAATCCTTATGAACATAGCAAGCTTGTGCAAGTACGCCCATCCTATAGTTACAATGGAATTTATATTCTATGCATTGCTTATTACTTGTTTTGGAAGGGGTCTAGAATCAGAAGTAGCTAAGTTGCTGCACCAACATAAGCCTCCACCATAACTCTTTCTGGGTTCTTCTAACAACAAATAGTATGCCATGTTAATTTTCCTTCTCTTATAAATTATGTAATTTAGCACAATTTGAAAAATACTTACATATAAACTAAATTGATGAGTATAATTCAAGAAAAGAGAAATTTCATTAGAGAATTATACATATGAGTAATTAGCAATATAGAATGAGAATTATATATATATATATAATCATGTATATATATGAGTAATATAGAATGAGAATTTATATATATATAGTTGAATAACAAAGGGGAGTTAAGTAATGCCCCACACTGGGCATAGAGCTTAAAATCAATCCCAGAGGATAGTCCTTATATGTACAAAATTTGTGTAAAATTCTTATTTTCCTACTGTTTTGGAATTTAGAGTATATCTGAATATTTTTTCCCTGTAATATAAAACTATGCACACCTATAAACTTATTTAGAATACAGGAGTCACCCATGTTACTAAGAGCCCCTCCCCTCTACTCTCAGATTTTGGGAATGGTGCTCATTATAAACAGAAAGAGGCATATGAGTGTATGAATCATTAAATCACTTGGAATAAACAGCTTTTATTAACTTTGTGCATGAGGAATGCACTATACTAAAAACTCATGTGTCACACTCATGAGTCACATACCCTTTACACCCAGTGACCACAGTGCTTTGCCTGAGTGACTGTGCTATTTGTTCAAAGTGAGCTGTGTTAAATGGGTTTCCTCTCAGGTGCTGGGTACCTGAGAAATTCATTTTAAATTCATTTAAGCCAGCTCATTTTACAATGATTTCTGTAGCTTTATCTTAACTGAATCCAAATAATTAAGATCTCCCTCCTTCTATAAGAAACTGGACCAGTATTATCTCATACTGGAATCCATACCTGTATAACCTCTTTCGCAGTTTGTCTTAAAGTCTATATTTGCCATTCCATCATCATATTTTGGAACAGGCAAGATGCTGGAAGCCATGGTTTTATCTGTAGTATTACATGAAAGGTAAGTATATATGCAGGGCAATCTTCTAAAGTATGGCTGACAACCTTTCCTAAGTTGCAGGTTAGTCGCTCTCCTTTGATCTGCAAGTTCCACTTGTGAGGTGCACTGCCTGCTTCAGAATCTTGTGAGGGAGATTCTGCCCAACCCAATCATTTAGACGTTACTCTAGGTTTCAACAAGTTGATTTTACAATCAAGCCTACGTGTAGTAAGCCAAGTGTTCAGATTCCTTTCTCTTTAGCACCCATTAAAGGTAGACAGCTTTCACCTGGGTGAGTCCTAAAGGGATGCTTCAGAGCATAAGCATTTCAGTGAAGAGGATATCTTAGATAGGAGCTGGGGTGGGAGACTTTGAGTAACCAAGGTCAGAGGATACTGTGCCTGGGGTCCAAAGGTAAAGAGTGCAAAAACATAGCTTGGAAAAGCAGAAAGGACATGGGCCACATAATTTGGGTGTGCTTCTCTGAGAGCTGTTGAAAATTACCTATTCATTCCTCGGCAGTCCATGCGGTAGCTGAGCTGAAGAATGCAAACCTATAGTCTTGTGCGTGTGTGTGTGTGCGTGTGGGGGGGGGGTCAGGAGAGGTCACAGTCTGCGTCTATTAGGTGATTTCTAAAATTTCAACTATCTGGAAATTTACCAAATTATAATCAAGAGGCTTGAGGTCTAGTCATGCCACTTCTTAGTAACGACCCTAGGACATTCCCTAAACCTCTCTAAATTTTAGATTCAATATCTGTTAAGTGGGCTAAAAATATACTTCACACTAGAAAAAAATATTGAAAAGTTTAAGCTTCGGTATTGTAAATTCTGCTACAGGCCTGAGACTAGGATAGGGCGGATGGGGTGCCAAGGGAAGTACATTCAAGGATGGCCTCACCTTCCTGGCTGTGCAAATGCAAGGTCAGCACCTGACAGCATGTGCCTGCCTCAGTTTTGTATTTGATGTGCCTCAATCGCCTCACCTTTGTCCAATTGGAGTAGAGTATGTATATAGTGTCATCGAATAGGAACTGGGAGGAAATTTCCTAAAGGATGTTCAGGATTCAATCACTTTCCTAATTAAACCATCCAGGAGAGAGTTACGACATAAAAATGAATATTAAAATGAGTTTAAAGGATAAACCATTAAAAATAATGTGGCAAAATAATTAATTCTCTTGCTGTCAGAAATACAAACTAAGTAAAGCAGCCAGACCTCAGAATGATCCTAAACCTTACCTGCCTGGAAGTAACTTCTGTTATTTACTAGGTCATTTTGCAGTATTTTTCTACTTTATAATTGACTTACAAAGTAAATAAGCTTGAAATTTACTTTTTACAATCAAAATGGCCTTGATTCACATGTCTCCCCTATCTGAATTTATGTTTCTCAGTATAAGAAGAGAATTACTTCTCATTATAATAAGACTAGTATTTGCACAATGATGCCTCACTTTGTTATAAGGTTACTATAGTGAAAAGGGGAACCAAAGCAGGCTGGAAGAATGTTGTAAAAGAGAAGAAAACAGAGTGCAGGAAGGAGTACTTCTTAGCAACATAAATTTGGGCAAACCACATGACCTTAGACAAGTCACTTAGCCTCCCTGTATATCACTTCTTCCCATGTAGAAAACAGGAGTGATAAAAGTACCTACATCACAGTGCTGGGGTTATATGAGTTATTACATGTAAAGCACTTAGAACAGCATGTGACACCTAGGCATCCACTGATGTCAGGTATTACCACAATTTTGTTAGAAAATTACTACAATTTCATTAGGAATTTAGTTAAGGAATCTTCACTCAAGTAAGTCTTTCACTTAACAAATGTTGTTTCTTCTGTACATTGTAACTGAGTAATGCCTATTTTATGCCTTACATTTCTGCTCAAATTTGCTGAATTCTGTTACCAAACCTACTTATTTCTACTGCACTATCTTTTAATTAGGCAATTTAAATATATACTACATAAAACAAAAATAAATTTGGCTTATGTATGAGCACTAAGTTGAATTATTTTGGAAAGATTAGATATAGGCAAACCTTAACATATGCTATCAATGGACTTCATCAGTCCAGGGAAAAAATTGTAAATGTTCAGGAGGATCCTGCACTCAAAAAGAGCTTTTTAAGTATCTTAAGTTATCACTTTAAAAAAAAAAGCTCAAAACAGAAAAATTGAAGATGTTTTATGGATGAAGTTATAAAAGAAAGATAACATAGAACTCCAGGCATTGGAATTGTACTCAAAGAAAAGTCCTAAGTGTTTCATCTAAATTTGCAAGTGCCTGAACATTTACATATTTTTATTGAAGATAAAATATTAAAAGCATGTGCTTATTCTTTATGACATCCCTCTATAACCAAATATTTCAATGAACTGGTATCTCCATCCCTATTCTATGAGGTAAGAAACTTCCACAGTAATGGCAGCTTGGAAGATCATGGTTGGCCCAAGAAAATAATAAATATGAACATAAGATTTTCCTTTTGGTGGTACAGCCCATTTCACATAGACAAGAAAGGAGGCAGAATTAGAATTAGACAGAATTTCTGTTTGGGTAGAAAATTTTTAAAAAAGCCCAAGTGATGTAACTTGTCTTTTTCTTTTGAGAATTTGAGGAAATAAGCAAGATATACCTGACTGAGGAACCCAAGCCTGCACACACAGAAACACCTGTATGACCTGAACTAGTTACAGTATTCTGGGAGACATGATACCATTTCCTTAAAAAAAAAAAAAAAAAAAAAGACAATCTGCTTTTATATTTTTAAAATGTGAATCCTAATATATAATTTCATGTGATGATTTTAAGATGTTTTACTCTTCACTTTATATGATAGATTCATTACTAAAAATTTATATGCACCATTTTTGTAAAGCAAATAGTATTTAAAATATATTAGATATGAGTAAATACTTCCAGGTAGGTGGAGTAAAAGGAAGAAAAACTACTTGGTAGATCATTTTTAAGACAAATAGATACAACTTATCTTTTATGTAACTTGTATCAATATTTGGTAAAGGGTACATATATCTTTGAATAAGGAATTTTTACACATTAGTAAAAAGAGGTATATTTCTAGAATTTTTAAGAAAACTTGGAGAGATTATTAATAAATCCAAAATCAATAAGCATATGAAAAAATTTTAACTGTAATAGCAATTTTATTTTATTATTATTATTTTTTAATGTTTTATTTATTTCTGAGAGAGAGAGAGAGAGAGACTGCGTGAGTAGGGGAGGGTCAGAGAGAGAGGGAGACACAGAATCTGAAACAGGCATCAGGCTCTGAGTTGTCAGCACAGAGCCTGACGCGGGGCTTGAACCCACGAATCATGAAATCATGACCTGAGCCGAAGTCAGATGCTTAACTGACTGAGCCACCCAGTGCCTCAGTGTAGTAGCCCTTTTAAAAACATAATTTAAGCAGCATGATAATGCTGATGAAAGGATGAAGAAAAGGCTACACAATACAATTTAGCAATCAATATTGAAAAGTAATAAGAATATAAATGCCCTATACAGGAATATTGCTACAGAAATAATCAGTTTATGCAACAATATAACTACACGTGTATCCACTATGGTATTGTGAATAACAATGAAAACTGTCAAATAGGAAACTGTCCAATATTAGGGATTTGGTTAAATATATTGTGGTATTTCCATGAAGCAGTTATTCAGCAATTAAACATATTACAATTGTATATTTAATAAAATGAGGAAAATGTTTATACTATATTATGACATTTTAAAAGAAAACTATAAAATATGATGTGAAATAATTCATTTTTATAAAAAGATAAAGAAAAAAGACTGAAAGTTAATCTGTCCAAAAGTCAATATTGAAAAATTAATAATTTTTAATAATTAATAATATATTGCTTGTCTTTGAAATGTTAAATCATCTTTGAAGCCTTATTAGGCCAGAAATATTTCCCCTTCTTTGGAATTCCACAACTCTTTGCTACTACCTAAAACTGAGGAATGAAACTATATCATCTCCTTCTTAATCTAGTGGTGGACAAGGCTTACCTTCCTTACCATAGTTATCCGTTCTAAAGTCAGTATATTTTATATCCTCTGTGATGGCTGGTAGAGCGACTTACTTATACAATCACCCTTTTTAAGATGAATTTTACTGACCACTTTCTCCAATTTGCCAGGCAATGAATTAAGGCATGGGGACTGTGGAAAACTGATATCTTTGGTTGGCTTAGTGTAGGGTAAATGAAGAAGAGAAAATTATAGAGTAGCTTTTATAAGTACACAGAGTGGTAATTCGGGAAGGGAAGCAAACCAGATTTTGGTGCTTGGTGAAAGGTTTCTCAAGGAAAAACATTCAAGATTCACTCAGTGAAGGATGAGTTGGGGAAGGACGGTGATCCTGGTGGGGAAAATGTTCCAGTCAGAGCAAAGAGCAATTACAAAGCCTCATAATCACCCAAGAGCATAAATGTTTAGCAAACTCAAATTAGTTCTGTGTTATTGGGGTCCTGACCTGAGGACATGAAGCTGAGGCTAGATCATGAAGAGTCTCATAAATTCTCTTCACATTTGACTGTTCTTTAAACAACTGAGTATACTTTTACTTTTAATAGTTTGTGATTTAAATTTCTTAAGTTTGCTTAGACATTTTTAGAAAAATAGTGCTCAATTATTCTGTTTTCCATTAAGAAATAAATGGATTAGGATGCTAAATAAAAATATAAAGTATATGCTACTTTTCATCTTGAAATTGGGACTTCTTAATTTTGCATTTTTTAGCAATTATGCATGCATTGGCTCTTAGGAAAAGAGTGTTGATATAAGCCAGTTGTGATGATTCTCTGTCAGTTGGAAGTTATGCAGGAAACTCTATGAGATCTGAATTTGGTTTACAATACCTATTTTAATGGCCTACTCAGCTTTTATTTTTAACAGTCTGTATTCTTTTTTAGCTTGAGTAATACTTTAGCTATACTATACAACATCATTTACATTATAATGTTTTACATAAGTTTGTTAAATTATAAAATTTTTTCTACATTTTATTTAGAAAGAAGTAAAAATGGAATTATGCAAGAGACAGAAAACCTTTTTAAAGTTGACCTGGTATTTCTGGCATTAGAATCTAGTAAACTGGGAAGGAATGTAAAGAAAAGCCAATTCTTTAAAGCTGTTTAGACCACATAGAAAAAGTTAGCTCAAGTTAGATTTGTGCCTGAAAATTGCAATAAAGTAATAACAGTTTTCTATCTTTTACTTGCTATTAAAATTTACCTCATTCTTCCATATCTTATTATTCTGCATAAGAATAATAAATTTCCCAATTTAAATTCAGTTAACATCAGAAATCATATCCTTTATCAGCAAAAGATATAATTCATAAATGGAGTAAAAAAAAGAATGAATATTATTTGGAGTTGTTCTTAGTGTATGAACTTGTCATTTGGCATGCACTTTTTAAAGATATTTTGTTCTTTCTTAACACTAGGATAGGGACAAAATTATAGAAGAATAGCAATAAATGAGCAGCAAACAGAATTGGAAGGAAGGTATTCCACTTGGTATCTATAAAATATCAAATATCTGCACATTTTCATAATTATGAAAACTGCTGAAGAAGTAGTGAGTTAAGTATTGCATCTTCAGAAAGCACTAACGCCAACAACTCATCTCCTGAGATGGTGGATGATGCATTTTTTAAAAAGGGAACATCCTAAAAAAGAGCAAAGTGGGGTCTTGCTGCCTGGGAGAAAACCCTAGACTTCCGTTAGAAACTAGCTCACAAGTCTATCTTGGTTGCAGCCTTCCAGTCTGATAGGAATCACAGCTCCTCACTTGAAAACCTATTAAAAGCAGCAGCAAGGTTAATGAAGAGCAAGTGAAATCTCTTCAGAATAATTCATGCTGACATTGAAATGTGTGCTGCCACAGTCTCGCTCTGTGGACTTAAAGATGCTATTTGCCCAGCACTGGGAGAGGGAAGGAGCTCAGGCTGACTCACAGTTCGGGACGTCGGAGGAGCTGATGGACTTGTTAGGGAAACCATCTCCTGGATTGCTAATCGCAGCTTTAAGCGATGCAGGGGATTGCTGATTCCAATTTCTCTCTGGATCTCAGTGTCTGATAACGCCGACATGATGGCACCACTCTTCACGTTGGCTCGGCAGGCTGCTACATACCAAGCAGGCATTCCCAGCCAGAGCTGTTGGATGGGGAAAAAATACAAACACAGGTTATACTAACAGTTAACAGCTTAGTCTCTCTTATGTGCCAGGCATTTGTCTAAGCACTTTACACGTGTGAACTGTTTTATTGCCCACATCCCAAAAGATATATGCTATTATTATTTTCCCCAGATGACACAGAGCCACAGAGGCATTAAGCGATTTATTAAAAAATATCAGCTAGGCAGTGATAGAAACAAAGATTTGAAATCCAGTTTCCAGGGTGTGCAATTTAACAACTAATTTATATTATTAGGTTAGACATAGTAGCTGCACATCAGCAATTTTCCCCTGCCCCCACTGAGTTAAGGGCAAGAAGAGTCACAAGCTGAAGTTGGTAAGGGCTCAACTGGCATTTGTTTATTGCATGATTTCAGTTTATAATTCTCGTTTGGAATTCTGAGTGCAGAGAAATTCTGCCACGGAAGAGATTGAAGCCAACATTGTATGTAGTTAGCCCCCTTTCTCATGTGATAGTTGTGTCAACTTAATTGATGTTCTCCATGGACAAAGTTTGGAGAATAAGATGATATGTGAAAGGAAGAGGCTAAAGTTATAAACATCTGGAAAACTTTAGGCAAAGAGAGTAACAAAATGAATAATGCATTAGAAATTAGGGATTCCAATTTTCCAACTTTGCTAAGATGCTACTGAAAGACAACTGAATCAGTAGTGCAATGAACACAGCACAGTGTCTGCACACACCTTAAGCACTGGGCGAATGCCAATTCACATGGATTGTGTTGCAGCATTTGAATTACATACACTTAAAAATGGAATATTCTCTCCGTTCTCCCTCCCCACCATCATTAACTAGGAGTAAGAAGCAGGGCACAAGCAAGTGAGCAGTTTAAATCTTGGTCTTTAAATGTCCAAAATATTGATTTTTTGGACTATTATATTTGTTGATGTGAATAGAATGAGCAAAAGGGTGAGAACATGAGTGACAAGAGTGAGAGTAAGAGAAAGAAGAAAAGCTATAAACCAGCAAAAGTCAATGCCAAGAGCTCTGGAATAGAAGGTTGGGCTGTAATTCCTCCAGTGTCACTGGCCCTGTTAACTTCTCTAAATCTCAGCTTTACTTTCTTCATTTATAAAACAAAGAAATTCAGCTTTATTATTCCTGGTATTGTGGTAGGCAGCTTCCAAGATGGGTCTTTGGGATTTCCTCCTCCTGATATTTCTTTTCCTTTTTAAGAATTTTTTGTAAAAAGCTTATTTATTTTTATTTTGAGAGAGAGAGAGAATGAGAGCACACCAGTGTGGGAGGGGCAGAGAGAGAAGGAGAGAGAGAATCTCAAGCAGGCTCTGCACTGACAGAGATCCCACGAACCATGAGATCATGACCTGAGCCGAAATCAAGAGTCGAAAGCTTAACCAGCTAAGCCATCCAGGGGCCCCTCCTGATATTTCTGCCTTGGTGTAATTCTTTGCCCTTCAGACTGGGCTGAAAGCAACTTATGTGTAATGAATTATGAAAGTGACAGGATGCCACTTTCCAGATTAGGTTATAAAGAGACTCTGGCTTCATTCCTGCCAGTCAGCTCTCCTTCCCTCCTCTGAGCTCTAGCTCTGGGGGATTGGCTGCCATGTTGTGCACAGCCCTGTGAAGATGGCAAAGAACTGATGTTTCTAGCCAACCTCTGGCAAGGAACTGAATCATGGCTGTGAAAACAGGAGTCAGCTTGGAAGTGGATTCTCCCCACGTCGAGCTTTGAAATGCCTGCCACCCTGGCTGACACCGTGGTTGCAGCCTTGTGAAAGACTCTTGATCAAAGCTTGGGGCGCCTGGGTGGCTCATTCGGTTAAGCGTCCAACTTCGGCTCAGGTCATGATCTTCTGGTTTGTGAGTTCGAGCCCTACATCGGGCTCTGTGCTGACAGCTCAGGTCTGAAGCCTGCTTCAAATTCTGTATCTCCCCCTCTCTGTCCCTCCCCTGCTCATGCTCTGTCTCTCAATAATAAACAAATGTTAAAATTTTTTTTTTAAAAAGCCCTAAGTTAAGTCAGACTCCTGATCCACAGAAGCTATGAAGAAAATAAATGTTGAGTTTTGGTATAATTTGTTACATGGTAATAGATAATTAACCTAGACATCCTTCTATTTAAAAAAATTCTGTCTTATTAGAAGGCTACTTGTTTTTATCAGGGAGACAAACAAACCAAAAGCCAAGTCTTTGGATCAATGTGGTCTGGGCTGTGACTGAGATAAAAGACAGGAGAGAAGAGAATCTAAGTAGAGCACATGACTGAATAGTTCATACTGACTTCCAGCAGGTGAGGCACAAGGAATTGGCCTTACATTGACAGGTACCATTAGATACCACTAGATACCATTGATGGAAGATGGGACTTAACTTCTTAGTTCATCAACTCAACTTGTTCAAAATAAGTAAACATCTAAATATACTTTCACTGGACTCTAATGATTTTTCACTCCTTCTTTTTTAAGATATTCTGATCCCCACACTAAGTAATATTACCCAAATGCCTGCCAAATCATTGTTATCAGTACCATCTCTAATTAGACTTTCAAAAAGATTTTGGTGTTGATAAATGGTGTGTGAAGCATCAGACTTCCTTCTACACATCACTCTGAGCAGGCTGTGCACACGAGGAGGTGCTAAAGGATGTGAGAGTTAAGAGCTCTCGCTCATTGGATCACCTCACTCATTCATCTTGTTTATTCCATTTTATAATTTGAGTCACTTTCGGAAGCACATTATGAGCAATTTTTATGTGCTCAAGATAGGTTTAATTAGCACAAAACTTCACTGCCTGTCATTTCCTAGCCCCTTCATGTCAGTAAATCTTTTTTTTTTTTTTTTTAATCTAAAGGTTTGTTCATCATCTGCCAAAATAGGAGCTAACTCTCTGTCACTGCAGCTCATTTCACTGGAGTGATACTGACAAAGAGCTGCTATTAATTTCGAGGTGTGCTTTCTTAAGCATTTTGACTTATAATTGATTTTTAAAGTGTAGTCATTTTAAAAGCACATTTGGAAGAAGCGGCTCTGATAACTAATATGCTAAAATTTCCTGGACTGCTACGAGAGAATAAAATAACGCAAGACACATGCAAAGCATGTTATTATATCTATGCATTAAAGACTGTTTTTAAAACAAAAAGGGTGTTAATTTTACATCATTGATTGATTTTTTAGCCCTGGATATGATATGAAAGTGAGTGATTTTATAATCCCCAACCACTTAAAACAATGGTCTTGAATTGCCTTTTCCAGGCAAGATAAACCCATTTTCCTTGCCCTGACATTGGCATATGCTGGTGGCTGCGGGCAGCCCATATTAGAGGACTGAATGGAACAGGCAAGGGAACACTACTACTCAGTGGTATGAAGTGGTCAAATGTGTTTCCTTCACTGTTGCAGTCTACTTCTATTGCCCTCCACTGTGCTCAGGTATTGTTTTTATTTTTCCGGGCCCCTGTGTTCTGTAGAAAATGCTGAATTACATTCACTTTAGATATAGAAGAGAACAATGGGATAAGTATTCTCTTGCTTAATTCCAAGTGTCTAAACCTAGCTGGCCTCTAGGCTTTAGAGAATTAGGTTCAGGAATTATTCTATGAGCAAAGGAATGGCTCTCTATGCAAATAGGTGACAGTGATATCCTGGATAACAGGGTTGAATATAGAGATGGCTCTTCTTTGAAACCTGCTGATGAGAAAGAAATCTAGACTGATGGACTAGGGCAGATGTTTTCTTGCACCAAGAGAAATGTGGCTCAATACCTGCCTTCCCTTACTCTAGAGATGAAGATAGTGAAATTTAGAGAAACTTCCTTTTATCCTCCTGGGTGCTTCCTTCTGCCACAATCACAAGAATGCATCACAACAATGCCTATAGCCCCCTGGAAAAAGCAAATATTCCCTTTATAAGCTACTCCAGGTTAGTGGAATGCTGTGACTTCAGGAACCCATCTTCACCGGTTTCTAGAAACACTATCAAATTGAAGTCATTAATTTAAGAGCTTTCTGGTTTATTTCTCTTACCTCCAGCCATGCAACTACAGTGGGTCCATCCCACTGAGCAAAAGGTAATCCCTTCCTCCGAGCTTCTTCTAGAAGTTCATGCCTGAAGTACACAGCAAAGATCATTAGTCAGGTAGCATGGAAAAAGATGGTAGTGATTGATTTAATGACAATATTTTTAAAAAAACAATAATCCTTCACAAGCTTTTTCTGAGTTAATACAGAATAACAGAATTCCTTCTTCCTTTTAGTAATACATGGAAATCACCCATTGGTTCTGAGTAAAACACTGACATCTAAACATAATTTGTCCCAACATTTATTCACAAAATTCAAACATTAAATGTTAATGGACTAAGAAGCTGAATTATATTATCAGCAAATATCTTAGCTCTTTAACAAGAAAATGGCCCACATAGGCATTTTCAAGCATACATTATGGGATCTAAATGAGGCATCTTTCACCCTACTTACTTTCCCTTACTATTTCAATGACAGAGAAAATGTCTGAATATAGAGGCAGTGGATAAATTTGGTTATTTTAGCCCCATTTAAGAGATGTGCCTCATTTCGGTATGCTTTCCAGGTCAAGGTAGCTACATTAGGAGTTTTTTGTTTTTAATCTAGACTATGAAATTGCCTCTCATTTAAAGAAAACTCAGAGAAAAATGAACTTCTACCATTAGAAAGCAATGTAAGGTATGAAATTCAATAGTACATTCATTTTTCATTCATTCATTCAATTTTCATTGATAATCACTCCTGTTTTTAATTAAAGTGAAAAAACAAATGGCTGTTTCTGACAGCAACATGTAAAGAGCCTAGACAAATGCATTATTAATCATTGTCCTTACAACCAAGCCTTATAACTGAAATCCATTTACAAAGCCAATTTGAGTCATTTATTGTTGAAATAGCAAATATGTGTTTTCATTGTAACTGAAGTTGATATATACCTGACCAGGGTTATATTGGAAAATATATTCTGTTCCTTAGTATGCTTACTATGATAAAAGTGTAGTGCATATTCACTCTTTTGAATGTGTGTATTTCATGCTTAGGAATCTATCAATAATATCATATATGGACTCCAAAATGAAATATTTGATTATTTCCTACTATCAATCAATCAACTGAGTTTTATAATTCGTTAAGTTACAGTTGACCTTTGAACAACATGGTGGCTAGGAGCGCCAACTCCCTGCATAGTCAAATATCTGCATTTAGCTTTTGGCTCCCCCAAAATGTAACTAGTAAGAGCCTTGACTAGCAGCCTTATTGACAACATAAACAGTCAACATATATTTTGTATGTTATACATATTTTATGCCATATTTTTACAATATAGAGAAAAGAAAATATTATTAAGAAAATAATAAAGAAGAGAAAATACATTACAATACTGTAATGTATTTATTGAAGAAAATTGCATTTCTGGGCCCGAGCAGTTCAAGCTTATGGTGTTCAATGATCAACTGTACATAATCAAAAACCCTTTTTGGTAAGAACTTTCCATATTTTCAGTGGATGCTACCAGCAAAAGTTCAGTGTGAAAAAGAAACAAAGAGGCAAAACAAAGACTGAAGTTATAGCTGCTGAAGACACACATAAGACAACTGCTGTTTTATCTGAATAGCACAGAAAGCATAGGTAAATTCTGCAAGTAAGTTTTTCAGCACTGAGGAAGGGAAAAGTGATACTGGTGGCCTGAATCTGAAGTGAAAATTAGAGGGACTTCCTCACTTGGCTTCCCATTCCCTTGGGCTTCCCAATGACATTCCTTCATCGAAAACCCGACTTGAATAGTCTACTCTCACTGTTACTGGTATTGATAGAAATGGGTTGAAAGGGCAAACAACCAACCATCAGGTACTCACTGAGCACCTGTTTTGAGCTCAGATCTGTGCTCAGTGTAGAAAATACAGACATGGGCTAGTTTTTCACAAGATCCTTAGTAAGATAGAAAAAGCAAACACACAAACTGTCCCAGAACACAATACAATACACAAAGAGATGCTAAAACTCAGTGATGCACATTCTGAGTGTGAGAATTTTGAAAATGGGTTAATAGCAATGGACACACTTGGTGAAGGCATTTGACGATTGAGCTGGCTTTGAAGGGCATGTGGAAAGGCGTTCCAAGCAGGATATGCAGTAATGTCAAGCATGGACTGTCTGCAAGACGACTGAAGTTAGACCTCCACAAGGCTGAGGAGTATTATTAAGAGTTGTAATGTTATATCCAATAGGGAAGAAACACTTCTAGTTATGTAACAGCTCAGTGACATTAAAGGGGAAGAAACAAATAGACATTTATAGCTGTTTTTTTTTCTTTTTTGCCACATTTAGTAAAAAGGCAACTAAATATGCACTCAACACCTAGGAAGTACATAACATTTCACAAGTGAATTATATGAGCTGTACAAAAGCCATTTTAAAAAAATTTTTAGTGCTTATTTATTAGTGAGACAGAGAGAAACACAGCATGAGTGGGGGAGGGGCAGAGAGAGAGAGACACACAGAATCCGAAGCAGGCTCCAGGCTCTGAGCCGTCAGCACAGAGCCTGATGTGGGGCTCGAACCCACAAACTATGAGATCATGACCTGAGCTGAAGTTGGACACTCAACCAACTGAGTCACCTAGGTGCCCCCAAAAGCCATTTTTAAAAGTTAGAACATTTTAATTGTGAAACTTCTAACTAGTTCTCTGAAAATATTCTACCACACAAGCCAGACTAAACTTGCTAAAACTTAAGTCAGATAATGTAACTTCTCTGCTCATAATCTCTAATCACTTCTTGTCTCGCTGAGAAGAAAAGCCAAAGCAGCAGTTAGGATCCACCCCTACCCTCTTCACCTCTCCAATTCAGCTGCTACCTCATGTAACAACACTGGCCTCCTCACTGATCCTGGAAATAGTTCAGGCTTCTTTCTGCCTCAAGGCCTTTGTACTCACTATTCTCTCTGTATGGAATGCATGTGCCTCCATCTCCACATGGCTCACTCCCTCTCCTAGTTTTAATCTTTACTCAAATGTTACTTTCTTTGAGTATCTTCTCTCCTACCTCCTTTAATCCCAACTAGACATTCTTTATCCCTGTTACTTGATTTATTTTCTCCACAGTACTTATATTCTAATGCAGAGTATCATTACAACCCAGTTTATTATATCTCAATCAAATATAAGCTCAAGGAGGACGGATGTTTTCACATAAGCTGTTTAAAGATAATTAGAAGCATCTAGAACAAGGCCAGGCAGAGACATACAAAAATACTTCTCTGAATCATTCGTTTTTTGTCCCTGAGGCAATACTTACTACATCTTCTGATAAGCCCCTAGTATATATACTAAGCATTCTTACCGAAAGTACCTTTAACATTTATTGACTCAGAGATGCAGTCGGTTTTATTCTTTGCTGAACACAAAACGTGGTACATGGTAGGTCTATTAAAATCAGATGACTGACTACTTAACAAATTTGGTTCATCTTGGGGTATGAAAAGTCCCTTATTCATGCCCTCACAGTAGGAGAACACAACTTATAAATCAAAATATTCAAGAGAATGTTAAACTCTGAGAAATAAAATTCATTTATTACTCAAAAAAGTCACAGACCATAGGGTCTGTAAAGTCTCCTTTCTTCTATTTTTCCCAACATGAATGGCTCATCACTGTCAGTAAAAATAGACTTTAGTCTCAGACCACTTAGCCTCCAGTGCTATTTTGGGATTGCCAATTTGTGATATGACTGTCTGAGTACTATACAGTATCCTTTGCTCTGTCACTCAGGATGGTGATTTCAGTCACCTTCCATTTAATGCCTGCCTTCATATTTTTCTATTTCATCTTTCTTTACTTTCTATTTTTGCCAGCACTATATTTTCTTTTTTTTTTAAACCTTTTAATTGGTCCCTAACCCTTTCAATACCCAGACATAAAAAAATCTGCTGTGATAGCAAAACAGGTTAAGAGAGAAGCTCTAAAGTCTGATGGCTTGGGCTTGATTTTTGGTGCCTCCTCTTCTTAGCTGACAAATAAGTCACTTTCCCTCTTTGTGCCTCAGTTTCTTCATCTGTAAAATGAAGCTGACAATACTAGTGCCTACCTCAAAGATTGTAATGAAAGTTAAATGAGATGTAATTAAATACATAATGTGATTACAACAGTGCCTCACACAAAGGAAGCAGTGACTAAATGTGAGGTGTTACTTGTCATAGCATTGTCTTCTGAAAACCTCCCAATGGCTTCTCAAATACTAAAGTATAAACCCCAACCTGAATTATGAATATGAAAATAGGTTTAGTCTTAACTTATCTTTCTGATCGTCTTCATCTAACCAGAACTGAAAACCTACTTTTGCATATAATTTGTGCATTACTAATTTTGTCATTGCAAGCACCATTTTCCAGGGCTGATAAGTTCTTTCCATTCTTCAACTATCACAATCTTACTGTTTGCCTAAACTATGACCCTTACTTTCATTTTGTGATAATCCCATTCCACAAGGACTCTTTATCCTTAAAAATCTGGAAACTTTTAGTGTGTCAGTATCACTCACAGAGATTATTGATTAGCACCACATGTGTGCGCCTCATCTCCCACCCCAAACTCTAAAGTCCTAGAGATGAGAGCTTGCTCTTCCACTGCATCACAATTTTCCTCACCTGCTCTAGCCAAGAACATAGCTTGAATGACTGTTATACTATAATCCACAAAACTCTCAATGTTGACAACCACCTGGGATATTTGATCGCAGGGGGAATTGCAAGTATTTTGTTTTTGTTAACATCAAACTATGCATCGCATCTTAAAAAGGAACAAGCGTTTTGTTTAGCAGTTACCTATACTGGCTGCTCAGAAAGAGAAAAGGATTCACTCTTTAACATTACATAAGATATTTTGCAAAATGACTACTACCAAACTTTTGTTCAAATTCTCATCACTTTTGGATCATGGCAATGGACTCCTAGATTCTGTCTCTTGTTTGGTACTCCCTCTCTCCACCCTTTTTCCAACTCCCAGTCAGAACTTCCTAAATATGAGTTTTTTATTAAATCTTGCCAACTTAAAAACCTCCCTGTTGTCCTAAAATTAATGTCAAATATTTCAGCATGATGGAAAAGACCCTTAGTAATCTGGCCCTAACTCTCTCCAGACTTTTCTGCTCAATCAGTACTGAAATACTTACCATTCCCCCAATATCTCATTCTATCTGACCCTCTGTGACTTTTATCTCCCTTTTTCTTCTGAGTGAAACATTCTTCTTTGCATCATGATCATGGCAAACTCATACTTGTCCTTCAGGCATAGCTAATGCTTTGTCCTCCCTGTTAAGATGACAAGACCTCTCCCAGGTAGAATTAATTTTCTCTTCTACACGAATATTATAACTGGTGTATACTCTAGTTATTGCACTTACTATACCTCTCATTTAAAATTTAAAAATGTATTGAAATGTAATTTTAGATTAATTAAAATTTAATATAGTATGTACTGTAACAGATTTTTCCAATGTGACTTCTTGTTTCCTTTAAACCCCTTTCTATTCTCTGAGCTATGATATCATGGTTTGAAAGAGCAAAGGTTCTGGATGTAGACAAATTAGGGTTTGGATCCCTGAAAACAATAGCTAACAGGCATTATCACATATTCTGTGTGAAACTGTATCATACGTGCCTTGTATATATAATTTCTTTAAGCTTCACAACAATAAGATACATACTGATATTCATTTGCAGATGAGGACACTGAAGAACAGAAGCCACTTAGAGCACAGAGTCAGTAGTGGTGGAGCCAGAATTTGAGCCAAAAAACTTGGCCACGGAGTTACCTTTCTTAACGCTCATTCTATTCTATTCTTTAGCTAATTAATCTCTTTGAATTTTTGTAACTGAAAAAGGAGAATAAATTGATTGTAATAATTTGATTACATTAAAAGCCTTTACTGTTAGTACTAAGTAAAATGGTATTCTCCCGCTCTTCTTTCTTTTCTTGTGTTTCATTTATATTTAGAGGTGGCACATATTTATTTGACCTCCTGGATAATATGTATGATCTTTACCCCCTCACTATCACACCCTTTAATTCACAACATTATCAGATACAAAAGGAGCTTTGTCTTTTCTTTTCTTGTTCCTCCCTAATATCAGGTTCTGCATCTCTGCCCGAGGAAGCGAGGTTGGTCTTGATTAACTGATTGGGATGGACAAGCTGGATTTCCTGCAATTAGTGTCAGTTCAATTGATTTTGCATAATTGTAATAAAAGGTAATTCTCTGATTGAAAAATATATCTTAAGGGCTTATTAATTTACTGTGGCACATGGCAAATAATTAGTTATTGATATAACCAGGAAATAAATATGCGGCTGGATAAGAACCAACAATAAAACCCAAGTCAAAATAATTTGACAATTGAATCTACTTCTTAACAGTATAGGCCAGAGGATAAATTTCCCTTACACAATGCGAGCAGTAAATTTCCTTATACTTCATTTCACACCAGTATTAATTGTTCCATCAAAATTCAATAGTCAGGAGGGTAAGTAGGCTATGATCTCAAATTCCAAACAGACGATGAGCTATGTAAGTCTACCATCCAGAAATATAGACTTGTTGATCAATTCTATGAAAATCAACATTACATATTTGAGAAACTATTTGAAATTCTGGTCAGCAAGTATGAACAAAATGTGGTACCACCCACATTTTTTCTAACATGTGCAAGCTGAAAATGTATATTTTAATTAACATAATTTTTCTAAACAGAAATGTCACAAATCCCAATCAGCTGTTTCAGAACACTGATTGCCTAAATATACATATTTAGCTCCATAAAATTAAGAGTTTCGGGTTCAACATTAACAAGGTTGACTTGATTTTAAAAGCAGAGCATACTGTGATTGTGTGTGTGCAAGTGTTTGTGTGTGTGTATGTCCTATCATGGCACACTTTTACATGAAGTGCATATGAAACTCCATCACACATCTAAGTAGTATTTTATTTAGATTCCAAGAACACATGCTAGGTTGTTTGAAAGTGAAATAGTTTGACTACATTAAAGCCAAAGTTTATTCATATTGAAACCTTTTTTCTTCAAGCTGCTCTGAAATGGAGGGCATAGTCTCAGAAATGAAATTTATTTGCGAGTTTCAGTTGGGATTTACATAATTCCCTTCCTCACTTTATTTTGAATTTAATCAGTTTCAAAGCCATTAAAAAGGTATAAACACACACACACATGCACACACAGAAATGTGATGAAGCAATACAAATACTCATGCTGTTACTGAAAACTAAAGGGACTTGTATTACTTTCCATTAAACACTTTCATTTTTGAAAGATTCTATGGTTTATTCTCCCTAGATACTTCCTGATAGTAAATGTGAGACTTAGTGGAGGAACACTGGTAATTTTCAGGTTATTTAGATACCATTTAGACTAGATTACCTGAGTGCCTCATCTAATTTTTGCTCTCTTTAGCTCAGATTTTGAAGTTTATAGTTTTCATGCTTCTGAGGTTATACATATCTTCTCATACTCGTGTGAGGTAAAGGAGGTTGACAGCAGTATCAGTAAGTGCAGAGAATATGTCAATCACTCAAAGGTATGAAAGAAGCAAATGGGAACGCTGTGGCTTACATTCTTACCTTCTGATTCCTAATTCAATGAACAATCTTTCCACCTCAAATTTCCCATCTTCACTAAGTGTGTACTATCTTTTCCTGACACTTTAACCTCCTAATCTTTCTTTTAGTAATTCTACCAGGAAAATGATTTTAAAGTCTTAAAATGTTAAATTCCAGGAATGTGTATTTGAATGTGAGTCTGAATTTTAGAATGAAGACAATTCCATCAGTTTCTTAAAGTCCATAAATAACAATGCACCATGCATTTATTATTTTTCAATGTTTAATTCAAAAAGTGAAGGGGGAATGAAGTTTTATTTCTTGGGATTATTTTCCTCATGAAACTTAAACACCATGAGAAGACAGAACACTGATTATTACATGATGACATGAAAACAATGTTTTGAATACCTAGAATATTTATTATGTTTAAAAAGAGCTTACAAATTTGGCTATCATAGTTGAAAAATACCCTAAAGGCTTTACTTTAATATCATAATTTATCCTAGCTGAAATAAATTCTGCATTACTAAATAATTAGTAGTAGTAACTAGACCTTAAAATTAGAAAAATATAACATATATAAACTGTACTAATGAACTAAGCAATACTACAAGTATATAACCTTGTATTGGTATATAAAATATCGATATAGCCAATTGACACTCTCCATAGCATCCTGGATAATTACACCTCATTGGAGACATCTTACTTACTGAGCATGTGTATATATATATATATATAAAGTATAAAGTATATATAGATATATATTTTCTTTCAATTTAAAAGCAATATTTTTCCCAAACAGAAGTGTTTTTAAAAGCTCACCGTGTTACCAGCACAAAAGTTTATACCATTGTAAATAGTTCATAAATGTTATGCATAATTTGTTTTACTTTGAAGCCTAATTTGTCTTAGGAATAGATAATTAACATGTTTTAATTTTAGTTTAAGGAGAAAGATTTAAAATTTGGTACTGTAATCTGAGACGTTTCAATTTTTAAATCTTGAAAATTAACCTGTAGTACAGGAAACAATGGAAAGCACACACAAAACCAAAGGAATTAACCAAAACCAAGGACTGCTTTGGAACCTAGGTGTAAAAGTCCTACTGGGGAATATCCAGCATGTATCCCTCCTCATTTAAGCTAGTAATTAACAAAGAAGTTTGTTTCTGGAAGAGAATGTGGATGGAGAGCCACCACGCACCAATGAGCACACAGGCCAACCCAGCCATGCAGCACAGTCGAAAATACCACAGTGGCCTCCAACTATTACTTAAGCCTCACTGAGTGCTACACTAACTCCTAAAGCATAACTCCCAAAGGAAGGAAATGACGTCTGGAATATCTTTTGATGAGTGTCTAATAGAACTGAAGAAACAGAAGTGCCTGCAAGGCCAACATAGTTAATTTGAGGGTGAACATTTCTCTGAACCAATGATTCCTTTTACAGTGTGGAAATGAATACACTTTGCAATTTTCATTTTAGGTCAGAGGCAGTGCAGCTTGTGTTAAAACTGAAAAGAGAAATACTAAAGATAAAAGACAAAAAGGATGGTGCTGAAAATAAACATGTTCAGCAGCCATTGTCATTCAACTTACCCAGATGTGCTTTTCATGAGATGGAGAAGGATGGATGGAAAAGAAAAGCACACAAATGTTAATGGATACATTTTAGTCCAAAGAAAGCCATGGAATAAAACAAGAGCATCATTTCAGATGTGCAAAAGCTCAGATATGAGAAAGACATGGTGTCTTTTTTTATTTCACCGTGACACACATACTCACTGCGTCCAAAAGCATGATCAGGTTGAGGGCAGGTCTAATTGTTGACTAGTAAGTCTGTCTCTTGAAAATGAGCCACTCTGAAACATGCATGACCACATTTTTCCCAGCCTCTAGTATACCCCGGGAAGAAATCAGGCACTTTATTAAAGAACATGCTTTACATCAGGCCACTCCTGGGTTGTTTTACAAATAAAAGCAGTAATTTACAAAATGGTGCCCAGATTCTCATGCAGCCTTACATGCCTACTGTTCGAACTCAAGAAAAAGTACAACAGATCCCTGGAGAGGCAGTAACTTAAGAGAGCACTGGTGTGAAGGTCAGAATATCTGGGTTCTAGTTTTTATACATGATTTGGCCAAAATTACTAGCAGGTTCTGATTTTCAATTTCCATACCTTAATCTGGAACAAGAGGGAAATTAAAATAATTTTAATATTCTAACAAATGCTGTAAGAATAATAATTTTTGTAAATGTGCATTTGTTAGTAATCAGAACATGAGAAGTATAAAATAATCCCATGACTCTTCTCCCCTTGCTGTAATAATTCCTCCTTCCCTGTTTGAACTGGCAAAATAAATGTTGTTTGTGCCAACTGAGTCTCTTTCAATAGAAACGTTTATTTGGACAGATGTTTATAAATGTTGCTCTGAGGAAAAATCAAACTAGTTTGGTTCACCAATATTACCATAAGTTATCACAAAAAGCATTGATTTAAATATAATTTTTGAGGTAGCCCACTTGCTCCCTGGATATAGTAGTGGCACTGGGAAAATATGGAATTTAAATAATTCAACAAAAAGCCATGGTAATATTATTTTGAATTTTCTATACAAGCATAGTAGAGAAATTCTTAGAAAAAATAAAACATTTACTACAACTCATAAAATATATTAAATATAACAAAATGTGAAGCAGAAATCCATATTTCAGAAATTAGGCAACTTAGAGAGTTTCTTTTTTTATTGCTCAATCATTATAAAGAAAAGATTCGCGTGCAATGGAACACCCTGTACGTGCCTCATCTAAATGCATTCATTCAGAGAAACCATGTATTATTTTATTAAATAGGCCTTTTGGAGAAATGCATATTCTTTGACCTTAGCTCCAGAACAGCTGTGGGAAGCTCTTTAAGTTTTCACATAAACAAAAACGTAAATGTTCATACACATTGGCACCATAATGACCTAAGAAATTTAAGGCATGTTTTTTACATCATACATAGAACAGAAAGAAAATTAAAACCAAAAAGAGACAGTTTGTAAGTTGTTAAAATGGCTTCCCGTCAACATATCTGTGAACTCTTTGATGAGCTCTTAAAAAAGGCAATTTCTGAGCTCTCCAGGAAAATTGCCAAAAGTATTTGGGGCCATTTATTCCCATGGACAAAATCATCTTTCTCAGCCTACCAGTTATCTACGAATTGCTCTCCAATAAAACAGGTTGATTAAATCTGCACACAATAGAATATTAATAGTCCCCATGTCTTCATTTAGCATTTTCAAAAATAGGAAACTTACACCAATAAAAATACCTTAAATATAGAATATAAGATAAATTATGAAAATAAACAGGAAACACAAATATAAAATAAACACTCAAAAAGTATTGCTTAAAGTTCTAATATATATGTTATCAATTGGTATAAGTTTTCTGATTTCTCAGAGTTTTTATGAGTTTCTTGTTCTTCATAATCAACTAAAAGCAATATTAAGCAGTTACTTCACTTTAGAATATTAAGTATGTCAGCTCACGGCTTAAAAAAATAAAAAAAGTCCTGCAAAGGACAAATAACTCTGACATATGTTGTGATAAATACTCTAAATTCATGTCAGAGGGAATATATATTTGCAGAGCTTTTCCATCTGGATAAAGTATTTAATTTTTTCTTCTTTCTATAGTCATTCCTACAAGTAGTTATTTACAAGAACACATAACCTCATTATTCTTTTTCTCATCACTCCAGATTGTCAAGGTTATGATAGCAAGACAGATTCTGTGAAAAATAAATGTTCTTCAGTTAAAGATCACTGTGAGTAATAGACAAATAACAAGTTTTAATTGACATAGAAAAAGAACAGGTTTAAGTTACCATTTAATGAATATGATAAAATTCAATTATTGGCATGTTTTCCTTGGGAATATCAGCATACATCCAGACACAAGAAGACATTACCAGCCAACATCTGTCTTTTTTCCAAAATGGTGCCTGAAACTGTTCAGATGTCTCATTTTAATCTTCTAGATCTCTTACTACATGAATGGGCCTTTTCCTGTTTATAAACTAGTCAACTCTGAATGTTAAAACTTCACATGATACATAATTTACTACATGAGCTTCATATGTGGAATGTGATTGTCTCTCACTTATTAAGGCTCCAATTTGTGACTCAGAAAGATTTTAAAAACAATCATTAACACCAGATTGGGGAGTGAATGGGTAGTAACTGATGTGGAAAAGTAGAATAAAGAAAGAATTTTTTTTAATAGGTGAAACCCGAGAATGTTTAAAGAAGAGAGCAGAATCTGAAGGTATAAGAGCAAATGAGAAGTCAGTACAACACGACTGAGAGACTGGGAAGAGATGGGCACTCAAGCAAGAGAGTATTCTAGTTTCCTGTGGGACTAGTGTTAGTATGCATTTGACAGCAAATAATTCAGGGCACTCAGATGGTTTCTCCTCTCTCTCCCTCTAAGGCAGAATGTGAGTTAATCTGCAGAGGATGCAGGATTGAGAACAGTGGAGGTCTCTAACAAAAGCTGCAGAGAGTAGACACAAGACTGGTAAGAGAAAAATATTATAATTACAGGGTACAGCCGAAATGCCAAAGTCTTGTCTCTAATGTTCTCCAGCAGCATAGAGGTGTTCAGTTGTAGACAAAGAGAAAGAAAATTCATTGGTGGCAGCAATAGTGGCATGTGGATACAACCAAATGAAAGAGGAGCCAAAAAAAAAAAGGAATGTTTGAATGTGTTGAAATCATGGACATGGAATCTAAGCTAAATAGGAAGGAAGAAGAGAACAGAAAGGGGCAACTATGTTGGGAAAGGATAGAAGCTAAGAAGAATGATAGTGGAAGAAAATGATAAAGCAAAGCTGAGAGAAGACTATGGTTAAGAAGGAATGATCTGTCTGAATTAGTATGAATTAGTAATTTTGGAATACGAGTGATTTGGAGGTGATGCGAAGACACAGAATATGACCATGGAAAGTGTCTGACTTGGAGTAAACGAGAATAGCATTTGAAGCCATGACACTTACATATTAAGTTGTGAGTGGGTGATCTATATGGATATAGAGCACCCCAGGGTGATGGAAAGGTTTACTTTATGTAAAGACAAGAGGCACATTGAAAATAAATAGTAAGCATATTTCTAGTGATCTTTATAAATGAAAGGAAATGGTTCAGAAGTTTTCAGTGTGGTTCATCAACATACTGCTTCAGAAATAACTTTTCTTTGAAGTTATTCTGTGTCATTGCAATGGCAAGCTTTCGTTCTTTTTGATGGCTGAGTAATATTCCATTATACGTATACCACGTCTTCTATATTCATTCATCAGTCGATGGAGCTGGAGTGTATTATGCTAAGTAAAATAAGTCAATCAGGGAAAGACAAGCACCATATGACTTCACTCATATGTGGAATTCTGGAGACAAATGAACATGTTCCCAGATGAACATATGGGAAGGGGGGAAAAGAGAGGGAAGAAAACCGCAAGAGGCTCATTACTATAGAGAACAAACTGAGGGTCGTTGGAGGGAGGTGGGTGGGAGATGGACTAGATGGTTGCTGGGTACTAAGGAGGCACGTGCTGTGATGAGCCCTGAATGTTGTATGTAAGTGATGAATCACTCAATTCTGTTCCTGAAACCAGTATTACACTATATGTTATCTAAAATTTAAATGAAAAATTGGAAGGAAAAAAATAAAGTTAAGGCTGATTTCAAATAGCTAAAGTTTAAGATTCTTGAGACTCTTTCAAAGAGGTTAAGAAAACATTATTCTTCTTCTAAGAATTTTGTTCATTTACCTAGCAAATCTAACTCAGTCAAACCCAGCTAAAGTGGTTCTATAAAATCTGAAACAAAAACCTTTCATTGTATTTTTACATACATGTGCATAAAATATACATGTACACATACATATGATTTTAGTGGTTATCTTTTGGTATAGAACTAGTTTTCAAAATAGAACTCTGACAACAAGATATAGATAATCACTGCTGTCCTTAGAAATGTGGAAACAAGGAAGAGAATCTTGGTCGGTGGGTGGCTAATTTTAAATAACTGTGGGAAGAGATAGCATCTTCAAAGACTTTATGAAAAACCTATGCAGAGCTAAAATATAAGATCCTATATTTGTGGCAACAAATGTGGAGAATTCTTTCCAGCATTATATTTAAAGGTACCCTAATTAGTGACTTTTTTCTTTTAAAAAATGAGCTTAATTATGCTTGGTATTTGATACTTTTTAAGTTTTACTGGAATGAATAGTGTAAGATTGATTCAAGCACACACTTAAATTTCTTACATAGCTTATTTATAAGTGATCATTACCATTCTTACATCAAACTTTGAGATATTATGTGTGGCTAATTATATGAAAAAAAAAAAGCAAGTTTATAACATAGCTACATCTTGAGCTACATCTTGTGCTTGAAACTACCTCCCCTTCCAGTCTTTAAAAAAAGTGTTTGGTTTGAATATATTTGTTGCTCATGTTGAAAGATGAGATAGAGTCAGATGACAAACTATTGTCTAGAAAAAAATATGCTACTCTTTTCAGAGTATAAAGAGGGTGAGGGATTCTCTTTCGACTCCCT